ACGTCACCCCCGCCGCCGAGTCCCAGCCACCTCTCGCCGACACGGCGCCATCAACAGCAACTGAACCCATCACGGTACCTTCTTTTACCGAGCCGGTGACCAAACCGGAGGAGGCGGTCGACGCACCTCCCAGACCTGAGATCGCGGCCTCCGACCCCAATCACACGTCTCCTCCCTCTTCTCCCGAAAAGCAGATAGACGCCGCTGCTGAACAGCTGGCTGCCTCTGCCGACGGAAAGAGACTTTCGGATGGTGGATCTTAAAACCAGAGAAGCTTCCTCTTTCTTCGCGTGTTTGTATTTGTGTATCTGCCTTTCGTTTCTCTTTGATCCTCCTGTCTGTGCCAGAGTTCCTTCCCTGTCCGATCCACCGTAACAATAATGCACCCAAACAGTACATTGCTTCATTCACTTCCCGTGGAGCCGTTCAGCCATAGAACTATCCCAAAAGTATGTACTACAGTTTGATCTCTAAAGCAAGAAAACCTCAGACCATTCATTCGAGCACGTCTGTCTGGTCTGGTCTGGTAGGGTCTGGTTTGATCGATAACCCACTAACTAACCTACAAGCCAACCTTCGCTTAGTGTAACTAACTTGGTTTGGTCATTCTGTCCTGTCCTGTTCTGTTTTTATGTTCTGTTGGATCCGTTGTCTTATACATGTACATTCCGTTCCTTTGGCATGAAACAAACACCACACACTGACTACTCTATCTACCTTTATACTTACCCAACTAGTTTGGTTAGGTTAGGTCAGGTTAAGTTACCTTACTAGTAGGATTGGGTTCTTGATCTGTATGGTTCTCGCATTTTAAATGTAGGACGAAAGTACAGTATTTTGCAAAATTAGCTTCAAAATGCGGAGAAGAGACATTGTTATTACGGTACCAAACTGCTACTGAAATGAACCATCCGTAAATTAATTGCCGCGATTCATCCAAGTCCATTGGCCATTTACGTGCTTATATCAGGAAGGCCTACTTACGCAAGCATGGCACCAAGACTCGCGCTTTTTAAAATTCAATTTATCACTGACATGTTAAAAAGCAATGAGCTATCTATATTTCAAATTGCCCGTGTCGTTGAATGTAGTTCCAAATCAGTTTATTTTATTCGATCAAATCTAGAGATATTCAACACTTTCAGGGCATTGTCAATCTGTGTTAGCCGATCACGCAGTTTCACATTTTCAATGCTAGAAACATTTTGCAATCGTTTGCTCAAAAAATCTACACTATATCTAAATAAAATAGCTATATTTTTATAAAATGAATTCAACATTCATGTATTAATCTCAGGCATTAGCAAGACTCTGATCTCTGTTGATTAGTTTAAAAAGATTGCTTGGCAAAAGATCAAAGAACGAAATCAGGATTTATGAAATAATTATGTTTATAATATATCCGATTTTCATTTTTATCAGGTAGTCTTTGTGGATGAATCGGGATATGATAAACAAATGGATATTAAACGGACAGACTGATTATCGCTTGATATGACATTTGTTTAGGTTTCGAAGTTTCATTGTGATAAACGTTACCAAATTTTGCCCGCATATGTTTAGAATGACATTGTCCACTCTCGAGTTTTTTAAAGTTCTACAGATACTGTTATATGTGAAGACTTTATTGAGCAGCTTCTTCAACATTGTGGCAAGTGGGCAGAAAAAATGTTTGTTCTTGTTATAGATAGTTAATGTATCCTTTTATCATTCAGATTGAATTGAAAAGATATGCTTGAATGCAGATGTCAAACTAATATATTTGCTATTATATTTATCAGATCTGAATTCAATTGAAGAGTTCTTTGCTGAACTAAAGGCTTTTGTAAAGAAAACCTAGCAGATTTACGAGAAGCATCTTGATCAAGACTTTGATAAATTCTTGAAAAATTGTTGACACTGTTGGCGAACGAGAACAAAGTGCTAAAAGCCACTTCCAGCATGCAGATATAATCATCAAGAAGATGTGATGTAAGAAAAAGACGATGCAGCGACTGAGTAACTAAATCAGCGTCTACTGCTTAGAATATTTATGTATCCTAGTTTTTGTGTTCGTTTGGAGGATAATGCCATACACTTTACCGGAAGATGATTAGCCGCACGGCAAGGTAGTTAGTCCGAATCCGAATCTCACATCCTCAAACAACCACATCCATAGTTACAATTCAACTGTGCAAACTCTCATACAGGTATGATGATATATTGTTTATTATGTCACGTCCATCCCGACTTAAGTGACATCGTTTGTCGTTAAAAAATATCATTATCCCTTCCTCACAACCTTTGAAGCCAAACAACCGTCACCTCGCGATTCGGATTTTCGAGAAGATTATCGTGCACTTTAAACCCTTGCAGATCGTTGACAGTGGCTATAAATCAGTTACTCTTATTAAATATATGGAGAATGAGATTTCCGAAAAGGACGAATTTCTAAACCTCTTTTTCTCTTACATCCGACAGGACCTGCTATTCGAAAAACAAAATGGCCTTAATCAGATCTTATCACACCTATCAGATCATGCTGGCTGGTCGGTAGAAGAAAAAAATGTTCTAAGTGGTAGCCTTCTAATGTTTGCTAAGTACTTAGTGGACAATTTTTTCTTGCCCCGTACGTCTTAAAATGCATCGTGAAGCACAGCGTACTTACTGTTCTTAGTGAAAGCGCTTGCAATTAAAACACTTCAACCTACCCCGGCTCTTTCGCATATTAGAACGCCCGAAACTACCGTCGGCACCCCACAACATGTCTCAAATCTTTGACAAGATTGCCTCAACTGTGATCACCACCAATGTGTCATTATTCGGAAAATCGACGCCCAAGAAAGCCAAAATCGATATAAACGGAATGGACAAAGATGATAACAGAAAATCATTGCTTTCAAAACGTGACTTAGTGACATATTTGGAAATAACACACATAATATCTCACTCCCTAATGTCACTTATCAGGGGCGAAAGAAACTTGATAAATGAACATATTCTGAGTGTCTTCCATATCTAGTTTACAATGACTAGACGAGTTCAAAACAAATAATATACAAAATCCTAAAAATGTTCAATCTTAGTGCTATCCATCTAATCAATGGTATTGACATTAATCGACCAATAAATGCACTAACAATAACTCATAATCTTCATAAATTATTCAAGAACTTCGAAATTGCTTTTCAACCCGTTGACATCCAACCTCATACTTACACAATTAACTACGTAAAGCCAGACCGCATGAATCGCGTTGAAAAGCTCTCTATTACTGTTACAATTTACCTTACTCCCGACCGAAACATAGATCCTTCTTCTCCTCAACTCCTCCAAATTCATAATGCCATTGAACGCATCCTTCATCTCAGCGCCGCCAATAATTATATCAATGAATTCCTTCGAAACATAGAAGATTTGGAAGGGGGACAAATGATCTCAAATGGGACCACTCGTCTCGATGACTATGTTTGGTTCCGCCTCGGAGAAATGTCTGTTTATTAATTGGATATGTGCAATGACCAGATGCCACCTTGCTTATTACGTTGAAATAGATTGTTCAAGGTGATTCGGGTGAAGAGTATTTATGGGTTTTCCGTTGTCTGTTAAGCCACTACCATTGTTTTTCGGCGTAAAGTTGTTCACAGATCTCATCAGAAACATTGTCGTGAGTGTCAAGATCGAGACCCTTTTTAATAAGATCAATAAAACACTTGAAATAATATGTTCTAAGTTTATAATATTTCTTTCCTAAAAGATCCTGCCAGCAATACCCATCTTTATTTTCACACAATAATCCAGAACAACGCATTGTCCTATATACATCCCGCCAGACGAAAAGCTGCCCAGAACTCTGCTCAGCATTAATCTGAACATCTCGTCCAGCAAACATCGTTTTAATAATTGACGTGTTGCCTCTTTTATCTTTTTTTCGTGATGAAGCCTGGTCATTATCTTTTGCTAGATAGTTAATACAAATATCAAGTCTGAGCTTTTCGTCTTTGGCCTTGTTCGAGCGAAACAGATTGCTTTATCTTAGGATTTGCTCTTCTATAATCGATCAATCAATATCAACTGTCTCGAACTGCTGATGCATATCATCTTGCAAGCGGTTATTTATTGAAGCAGCAATAGAGATATCATCTAATTGAATCTGTTCATTTTGAAATACTCTACAGCCTTTAACACATTTTATCTTATGTTTTAACGTTCTTTGTCACTTAGAGCCATCGTCAAATTTGTTTCTGTTACTCTTGTAACTACTCGGACATTAAAAGTAACTTTCCATTCAGTTAGATAATGGATATCTTCCTGACGCCAAAGAGCGAATGGGATAAATCTTAATTGGTTTGATTTAGACTCACTTGGAGCATAGAGATGTTCATCAAGTATCTGGCTGAAAAAAAGACTGCACACAGATGGCGTGAATGTCCGGCCGAAGTTATCTGGGATGGGAGCAGTGCACAGCGGGATTGTATCAAGAGAATTGAGACGTTGAAATTGTGAGTGCTCATCGACATAGTGGGAACTATAACTCATTGCCTCGAAATAAGTGCTGTCGAGAAATCTATTATTAACGATGTGGCATGTTAATACAAATCCAACAAGCTATTAATTATGCAAGAGATGGTGTAGCAGACAGGCTAAGAAAAATGATTAGTAGAAGTATAAGTTTTGTCATTCTTTATATTGCAGTTTATAGTACTAAATGTTCTGCTTTAGGATAGTTTGTTCCCAAAGGCTAGTTTCCTGATGGATGATGATAGATGAGCGAGAGAGCTCTTTGTTTTGTTGATAAACTGCCCGCTTCAGCAGAAGGCATATACCCGGGATATTTGACTTGTTTGTCTAGAACCATTTGATAAGTATGTAATTTGGGTACACCGCAAGTTCATACAATATATTTCTGTATCAATATTTATCCGAGTACTAGACTGTAAATGGACTAGCGTGTTTTGCCATTGCTTTTAGAAGTAAATGTTTTTATGTGCATTTTGAAGCTGATTTTGCAAAATACTGTAACAACTGGATTGGCCAACTAACTTAATGAACTAGCAGGTAAACTAGTGAATTCGAATCAGAATTCAATTGCAGACAAGGAAAACCAAGCAAGCAGGCAGGCAATCTTGGAAATCAATGAAAATGGAATCGAAGAAAGAAAGGAAAGTAAGTATATATGGTCGATTTGGTTCAGACCGGCTTAAAAGAGAAGGCACCGCGAATAAATGATTTTAGCACACTTTGAATGGCTTCATTATTTTTTGAAAGGTTTGCTTGTTTTATTTTGTTTTTTCTTCTTCGTTATAGCCTTTTTTTTGGTCTTGATTTTCAATGATTGGGTATCATGAGCTTGTTAAAAAGAAACAAGAGAATATAGAAGTCTAAATTACTGGTCAAAAAAGAATCAACGCAATGCAATTTTTCAACATGGCAGAAAGAACAGGAAAAGGGATGAAAAGAAAAGCAATCTTGTTATGGTTTAGACAAAGCATCGACAATCGAATGGGATGCAAAGACGGCAAAGATTGTAGAAAGTAAACAAAAAACATTATAGTAGGATATCTTAGCTGGGGGGCAGATTCTTCAGATCGCCCTTTCCATTCTTGATCCATTCGGGATCAATCAAACGCTCGCGTTCGGCGTAAAGTTGTTTATAGGCCCCGCGAATAGTTCCGTCGCTGACATGGGCCACTCCAGCAATCTCCTTGGCAGATCTTCCCTCACCCATCAGGTGGGCAGCCATGTAAATACAGGCGGCGACAATCGACAAGGGAGAACGGCCGGCCAGATCTCCCATTGTCGTGACCCGATCAGACAAGGCGGATGAAGTACTGACAACCGGGTATGGCAGACCCAGGAGGTTGCAGAATCGGTTGCACAGGTCGCTGGGTTTGGTGGACGTAGTCGCGGTGTAAGTATCGTTGGGGTCGGGAACACCTCCGTTCGACACAACGTTGTTGTGTCTCTCCAAGTTTTGTGCCGTGAAGAATTTTTCTAATGCCTTGTAGATTCTTCCAATCTCCTTCCTCGAGACCTTCGTGACGGCAAAAATTTCCGTAAAGGTACGCGGGACTTTGCATTGACGACAGGCGATGAAGATGCAGCCTGCGATGATCACGTCCTGAGACTTGCCTTTGAAGGCCTTAGCATCGTCGACGATCTTGAAGAGGTACTTGGCGGTGTCGGCCACGTTCTTCTGGATGCTGAACCCATCGCATAGGGCACCGATCTCCTTGTAAGCGGCAAGGAGCGACTTGTTGGCCTTTTCGCTCGATTGCTTGTTCTGGGCACGATACAGATCTCGGACACGGCCCGATCCTCCGCTGGCAATTTGGGTTTCCAGCTGATCTCCATTCAGCAAAGGATTGGAAGCGTCTCCGACACGAGACGGGTCGTCGTTGTTCTGGTCATCGTTGGAAAAGGTCCGCCATTCGGAGTGCATGTCAATCTCTCGATCAGCAAGCACTAACCCACAAGAGCCACACACAGTTTCATGGGACCCCGGGAACTCCAAATTAGGAGGCACTTCCTTGCATTCTGGGCAGATGACGTGGGCCGAAAGGTTTTTCTTCCACTGGTTGGGATCTTGTTTAGCTGAAGCGGGCGTAACGGCAACCATTTTCTTTGACTGTTCCAAGGAACCGGGGCTTTCTTTGTGGCGCTTGGTGATGCTCCCTACGGGAAAGGGAAGTCTATGTCTGCGAGCACAAAAACGAAGGAAGAACGGCGAATACAGATTGGTGGTTGTAGTTCACCAAACAGTTCGGAGACGCAGATTGCTCTCGGCAACGACAGAAAGGAGAGGACAACAGCAGCGTAATTCGCACAGGCTCGTCACGTCTCTGCGTCACTTGCTTTCATAGCCATGTTAGCCTGAACGCACCCAAGCGAAATGAAGAAATGTCCATGCTAAGAGATTTGGAGTATCTCGGTAGAACAGGTTCTGACGGTGGATCATGGTTGGCAGGCCAACCATTTGCCATCAACATCTCTTCTACATCTCACGGGGGGGACAGGTGTTGATGGCAAAGTTGGTGAGATTCAGCTTTTACCTTTTAGGGGGGCGGATGATATATCGGACTTGGTTGGGCTGCGAACAGTCCCCCGAGAGAGAGGAGCTTTGAGGTGAAGCCGACTGAGAATCCTCTGATTCCCGCTTCACGGTAACTTCGGTTTATCTCTTTGCAGCCACGCTTGTCCGACCGCGATGAACCAGTCAAGGTCTCCGTGAGTGGCGAGTGATCACGGAAATGGGGTCGTTCGAATCTGACAGAAAAGGCGCTGCAGCTGAGGTCGGTCTGGTCGAGTCGAGAGGAGTCGAGTCGAGTCGAGCCGGAGAGAGCAGACAGAGCAACGTCAAGATGTTCAGGTTCAGGACAAGAGGGCCGTGTCGAGCGACAGACAGACGGTCGAGATGGGAGGAGGGGAAACAAAGACGAGGAGGAGGCAGAAGGACAAAGAAGGCGGAAACCTGGACGGGAAAGTATCGGGAGCCGCACACCGCTGAGTCAGCCGCCAAGCCGACGACTCCCGAACAAACGTCGAACGTCGAACCTCCTCGTTATTGCCGTCCTTCGCAGATTCCCTCTACCAAGTTCCCCCCTCCCCTCCCTTATTCACCACCTCCTCCCCGTCGCGATGATGTCTCAGTCTCTCAGAGCGTCGGTAAGTTCTTCGCTCTCGGGACACTCGATGGATTCCCGTCCGTGCTGACTCGGCCGTAGCGCTCGCTCTTCTCCCGCGTTTCTCGCCAGCAGGTTTCTTCTGCCTCTCGCCGCACTTTCCTGACCTCCGCCGTCCGTCAGGGTATGTGATCCCTCTATTTCTTTTCCGCAGAGGAAAGGACTTTCTACTGTCGCTGTCCATTTGATGGGCGGCCTTCTTCCCTTTGCCAGTCCTCTGACCTTATCTCCAGCCGACCCCGTTCAGGAGCTGTACCTCCGCGAGCTCCGCGCCTACAAGCCTACCCCCGTCAAGCCCGGTGACGCCGAGGCTCACGTCCAGAAGTTCGCCGTTCCCGCTGCTCCCAAGTCGCCCGAAGAGGCCAACCTCGCCAACGAGCTGAAGTCCTACGAGAGCCAGGAGGTTGAGGTTGAGGGCCAGGCTGCCGCCGGCGAGGCCGCCCCCGCCGAGGAGAGCTGGTTCGAGGAGGAGCCCGAGGAGGAGGCTCATGCCCACTAGGTTTATTCTTTTGGTCCTACTGGCAAGGTCTGGGAAAACCACGTCGGGATTTTATAGGATAATGGACATGAGACCGGACGACGTCTCCCATCGGCCTTGAAGAAAAGTCCTGAAGGAACTTTGTAAATTAAACCTACTTTGGAGGATATGAATTTTTCCTTTTTCTCGTACATTAATGATTGTGTTTATTCCAGTTCACTGTAGAGCGTAGAACCGCGGCGGACGCAAGGATTGGCGTGGCGGGAGAGCGGGATTGATATATCCGACTCGACTCGACTCGGTCGGATCAGCGGTGCCAAGTTTCTCCCTTCCACCATTCCATGACAATAACCAGGACGAAAGGAAAAAAGCAGGCAAGAGATGGAGGAGAAAAACGCCGACGGGCAGGACTGAAAGTCTGAAAGAAAAGTGCAGCCGTCCGTGATGACATCGCCGTGTAACTCGAGCATTCCAGGGCCATTTTTAGCCCATCGCACATGGCGGGACCCCCAACCCTTCGAGACATGCTGGATTCCCCCGGCTTTCGACGTTTGATTATTGTGTTTATGTTTACGTTTAAGCTTCTTCCCTAGGCTAGTCTCAATTTTTTCCCTTTCCCAGCTGAACTAAAGCCGATGGGGTGGAAATATGACAGCTCCATCAGCATCGCCAGACCGCCATCCTCGGGCTTTTAGTTGGCTTTTCTTTGCGCCTTTTCAAAGTTTCGCCTCCAATTTGTTGAGGGACCCAGAGGTCCGGAGGACTGGACTGTCGGTAACGACCTTGGAGATGTGGGATTCTATTATTCCATCGAGAGGGGATCGATTGCGCCCCGGACTGACTCGGTCGAGCCGAGGGAGGGGCCTGAGATCCTAAGCACTAAGACTGTTCATTGTTTACGCCGTCAGGGTGGAATGCGGCGGTTGTTTCCCGGAGTACGAAGGATGCACAAGAAGTATGCGATTATTCGATTGTACGACATTCCAGGGAGTCGGACTCGCGGGATTTGCCACTGGCGACCCGGACCGTCGATAGGATTCCACCTGTTCCTGTCTCCGGCGGGTTGGAGGGAAATCGATGGAGACAGCTAAGGTCGACGGATTGATTGATTGATGACGGGCCTCCGTAGTGAGTAACGAGCGAGCTCTCGCCGAGTTGGGTACATGCACGCCATTTGCAGGATGACGGGTCAGAACTCAGGTGGAGATGCATGAGACGATCGACTGATAGTTTGGCTGGCTCACTCTCAGGGCAAGACTCCGACGAAGGATTGGCATGCACGAGAGATGATGAAAGAAGAGAGGAATTTCACCCTCTGCGTTGGATGAACGGGGTGGCCTCGTATAGAGTTCATTACGACGAATCCCTCGCAATAGTCCGAGTTTCCTGGTGAGTTCATGGCTGGTTTCCTTGCATCTTCATGCGGTAGATCCGAGCCAAGCGAGAGGAAATAGAAATTTAAAAAAAAAAAAAAAATCAAAAATAATCATGATAACAATAATCGTCGATTTGATTCCGGTCGAGGGCGTACGATGGTGCTGTCTGCACTGCACGTATGATGAATCCATGCATGGCGAAGGATGATGGAGACCGAGCAGAAGGAATTGCGACGACGATGACGATGATTGTCGATAGCTGATGAATTGTATGATTTCGATCAGACTCGATTATATACGAGAGAATCTCTTCTACTCCCTCTACACCGGTGTAGTTATACCTTAACTTATACTATCAACTATACCCAACTATACCGGATACCAAACCGTACCGTAATTATTCACTCCTCCGTTTTTCTCCCTTTTCCTTTTCCTTTTCCTTTCTTCCTCTTCTCTTCTTCTTCTTCTTCTACTTTCTCTCTTCCTTTCTGTCAATCTCCTTCTCTCCCTTGTTGACTTTCTACGGTCACAATTAATTCTCCCGACCTCTTCTTCCTACCTCCCTCCCTCCCCTTCCCAGCCCTCTCGTTACCGAATTTCCTCCGTCGATCAAAGATACGCCTTCCTTTCATTCGCTCCGGCGTTGGGCTAACGATCATCCCTCGTCTGGGGTATATCTTAAAGGGTCCCGACTAAGATCGCATCTATTATTGGGTTGTCAGCTTCAGCTCCTCTGCTAGCCAGCATTGACGTGGTCGCTCGCCATTCCTCCACTCCCCTTATAGTCATCTTCCTTACCCTCGCTTCCCCCCCGGTCCTGCGGATTCTTTTTCCCTCGCTCCTCCTCCGTCGACCTCTCTCGCTCTCCCACCTCCCCACCATCGACTCTCGCACATGGTTTAACCCTTCCTCGATATCGTCTTACATGGAGGAGCTGGTCTCTTCAACGCCTATTTCACCTACCATCCAATCCCGGCTGGGGGAGATGTGCATCTGTCCAGGGCGCCCCCTTCTCGTGGATCTATAGTTTCCCGCATTGCCCGAATGTCGACCATGTCGTCGATCTACCCCGAGGCCACGAACAACCATCAAGATGAGCAAGCCTTTCTGTCCCGTGCCGCCAGCTACAACCACCTTCCCGACCTCGCCGCCGAACAACCCTGCCCTCCCAGTCTGCGAAGGACCTTCTCCGACTTGACGTATCCAAACCATTCCGAATCACCGTCCAAGGAAGATGTAGCTGCTGGGAAGGATATCTTGCGCCGGACCTCCCTTCGTTCCAAGGAGAAAACAACCATTGCGGTCTCGCGATTTACGGTTTCGAGCGAAGACTTGACCAATCCGATGGACGGGGAAACCCTGGTTCCTCCCGCCGACGTCCCGGAAACGCCTCCCCCGGTCGTGGAGGCCCAGACCACAGAGACACGACCTCTAGAGGCCCAGGCCTCGGAAACGCCAGCCCCTCCGGAACCTGTCACCCGCCCCTCCAAGGCGCGCTCGATGTCCGGCAGGCTCGTCAGCTTGGCCCGGAAACCTTGGACGTCAAGCAGCGCACCGCATCGTTCGCCCGCCCCGTCCGCGAGAAGTGCTCGAGTGCGGGCCTTGCGCACCGACGAGCCCTCACCACCAAGCTCGCAATCCTCGTCTCCAAAGACCAGCATTCAGCTTGATACCGCTCCGGGACCCGATCCCGCCACCCCTTCTCGCAAGCGGACGATTCTGAACAAACGCCCTCGGCGTCCAACGGTAGCTGTCGTGACGCAGAGCCGGTCAGACAGCCCCGGTACCCCTAGCAGTCCGTCGCCGCATCCGCTCTCGACGAAGACCTCGCTGGAACGACTCACCGCCTCTTTCAATGTGTCCACCCCGGTGCTGCCCCCAATGCCCAAGTTGCCGCCCTCTGCCGCCAACGCCCACGGCGGCGTCGATGTCCCACGGAAGAAGGACGAGCTCTGGGCTGTCTTTCGTGGCCTCGAGGCTGATTTTCAAAAGTAAGTGACGTGGGCCGGACGAAGCACGCCTAGTCGCTAACTGATGCAGGTTCCAAGCAAAGTCCAGCGCCTTGAAAGCCAATGTCATTCGCTCATCACTACTACCATTTCTTAATCGTAATCATTCGGATCCTTCCTATAAATCTCTACGCCCGGAAGACCTGGACCGCCGAGTCAACATACTCAACAAATGGTGGACCGGGCTACTGGAGATGCTTAATGGCAAACACAACCAATCCATATCAGGCACGGACAGGCCGGTCTATCTCGAGGCTGTAGTTGGGATTATGACCCGACCGGAATGGAGGATTCCGTTTCCCGTGCCCCCGTCCGGCGGAAGGTCGCCCAAACCGTTGCAGCACGCCTCGACTTCTATCTCGGAGAGCTCGGAAGGCTCGTCGGGCTCCGATTTCCTCGTCGAATCCATCCACCACAACATTCGGAACATCTTCACGCAGAACCTACTTTCTCAGATGTCGTTCGTGGTGGAACGGATGTCCATGAGACACGCCCCCGCTAGCCTGGTGGCATTCTGCGGGAAAGCTTGCGCCTACGCCTTCTTCTTCTGCCCCGGAGTTGCAGATATCCTTGTGCGCTTGTGGAACACGCCGCCCAGCGTGTTTCGGCGAATCTTTGCGCAGTCAAATGTCGACCGAAGCAACAGCACGCGCGCGTTCACCCAGGACCTGGCGTTGAATTTCCCCGTGGCTCTGCGATCACTTGCTTTCCACGCACATACTCCCTTGGTCCGATACCTCCGCCAGAAGCCTGACGTTCCTCTGAGCACGGCGCAGCTCCCGTGGCAGAGCCCGTGGGTCTCGCGGTGGTGCGGCCGTGACTCGGATCTCTTCTTCGTTTTTGTCAAGTATATACACATTTTGTATGCCGATGCCCTGCCTTGCGAGCTCGAGAAAGGGCAGCGGCTTTTGGCGCCAGGTTTGCTTCCGGTTCATTCCCAACTTCTTGTCGTTCTCGAGGACACTTTGTACAAGCAGTCCATCCCGCAAGCGCCGGAAAATACGCACACGGCCGCTGCCATTACATTCGACGACTTTATCGAAGGCGCCGATGCGGCTGTCTCGGCTCTTCCCCTGGGAGCTGCCAACAGTCACCGTTCAATGGCCGAGAATCGATTGATTATTCTCCTTCGAGACTTTCTCTCCGAGTCTTCGGTCGAGCCAAAACAAGCCCGGCTTTTGTACGCCGAATCATTTTCCACAATCATGAAAACGGCAGCCCAGATGACGTCGCTTTTTGACCACAATGCATGCTTCTTGCTTTGCGATTTTGTGGAAGAAGTTGTCCCTATCATGACTCGCTTCTCGCGCACATCGGAGGAACCCGAAATTTTTGACTGGAAATTCTGGCAGCAAGTTTGCAAGCAGATGATTCAAAGCCACAATTCCCTGACCGAAGTACGGGTATTCTCGTTTCTCTTCGCCATCTGGAGTCCGTGGACTGCTTCCGAGGAGCGCAAGGAGGATCTCTGCCTCGGCTTCCTCTTGCATGAACCCTTGTTCTTTCACTATTTCAATCACTGGAGCCCTATGGTTCGTGCCTATTTCCATCGCCTGGTGTGTTGGAGGCTAGGTAGATTTAACGGTGATCCAACTCCTCTCGACACGTAAGTTTACATCTCTGCCTATGGACGGACAACTGCTAATCAGACTAGGAAAATCTATGAGACGCTGTCGGGTCGACTGCTTCGGATTTGGCGGTATTTCCTTGCGTTCCAAACTCGGGCCGAAGAATCTGCCACCGCGCTGCTGTCTTCTGCCCCCTGTACGCCGGCACCGGGGCGCAGGATCATCATCATCCGATGTGATAATCCTCTATCCCCAGCAAACCTATTCGTATCTTTCGATCGTGTTGTTCCTCCTGTTCCATCCGAGCAAAACAGCTCTACCAGTAACACCTCTTCACAACCCGCCGATCCCACTCCAGCTCCTGAAATTCCTCCGCCCCCTAAGAAACGATGGAATCTTCTCAAAGCCATGTTTGGCGGGTCGTCAAGCGCCAAATCAAGCGGAGATAGTTCGCCTACAAGCAGCTCCGACGAGTCCGACACCGGTGGATCGGACACCACGGTGGCAGCTGATAAGTGCCTGGATGGTCACTGGCGCCCTAAGAGTCACTCGGGGGAGCTCGCTCGTCCCAAAACCGCCCACCAGCCGTACTCCTTCAAATTCTCTCTAGAATGGATGGACCGGCCTCAATGGCCTAGTCGGAACAAGCGTCTTTACACTCCCTGCATCCCAGTGGCGGCTCAATTACACTTACAACTTCGGAGCTCAATAGTCAAATCCGACGACTCCGAATCAACGTCAGATTCCGCATCCGCCGGACAAACCGAGGATGGAAAGAAGAACGACTTGGCGGCGGTTGACGACACAGCTATGACTGGATCCGACACTGCTTCGGCATCTGAACAATCAACCAGTGAGCCAGACCTTACGCTTGCGTTAAAGGACACTCTCGTGGCAAGTAAGTACGCAGGCCGTGCTCTTGCCGAATGGGCGCAAATTGTGTCCGAATGCGATAGCTTCTTCTCTCGGAGGCGTGACGAAGGTGTCCCTTGCGATCGGATGGTCGAAACCCCAACGCTGGGCGTTGAGAGTTTCAGAAAATGAGTCACCACCGACAGTCGCGTTGAGCGTGCATGCGCTGCTTAATCACATACACCCTTTGTCCTTTTCCGGAGATTTGACAACATTTCTGGATTTTGCTTAGACCACATAGACCGTTTGTTTCTATTGGGCATGGGGAACCATCATGGCGTTCATTGTCTCATCTTTCTCTGAGTTTCCGTTCCCTTCTTAATCTTCTTACCTCGTTGGTCTTTTCACATAATCCGGGATTGGGGAAGGCGTTTTTCTTTTCTTTTCTTCTTTCTAATCAATCATTCTCCGAAAGGACAAAGGGGGTAATTGCATTGCTCTATTTCTTTCTGTGTTTTTTTCTCTGACCTCCCTCAAAAGGTTCTTTTTTTCTCTTTTCATTTCTTTTTCTCAAGCTCTTCCCTATTACCAGGCATTGTATATATCCAACTCATTGGCGTCTGATACATATAGCGGCGCATGGACACAAGGGTCCTTACTTTTCTTTTCTCCATCAATTGATCTCTTCCTATCTAGGTGTTTCGGAGCTGTTTCTCTGCATTTGTAATTTTATCTTTTGTGATTCGGTGCGTGCATGAGGAGTTGCTACTAGTCAGTCGTGTTTCCTTTTAAAGTACTGTAGGACGGACATTCTATTCATTCATCTGCTGGGATGGGATGGGATGGAGTTCATATCTTTCTGCTATACCTACCTAGTTTACCTGATCTAGATTAATCGACTAGTTCTAAGAGGTAACTAATTAACTTATTCATTTATATAACTATAACTATACAAACGAAGAATCCATTTTCTATATTATTATGACTGGCTGGTTCGAGTTTAGGTGAACTTGCACACAAAGCAAGCTCTAAGTATCTAATCTAATCTAGTTAGGCAAGAGGAAGGTTGGGCGAGATGAGATTAGTAGAATTTAGCGGAGTATGTGCTCGTGCAGTGTACATTCCCTTGCATATAATTCTCTCTACCTTAGAGATCAACGCCAATGCATCAAGAAGACCCCAATAAAGAGATCGGCATTACGAAGACATTGCTAGAAGAGGGGGGAAAGAAAGAAGGGCGAGAAAGCATCGACGCCAATATCAAAGATAATAGATCCGTAACTAATGACCAGAAACACCCATCAATGAATAGGTAGAAAGATAAATAGACAATGAAATAGACCAATAGATGCATAGACAGATGGATATAACACAAGGGAGATAGGAGCTTTGGGAAGGTATCGAAATCGAACGCGTCCCTCCCTTTTCCTGACGAGGCAGACATACACAAACGAAATGGGATCACCGCTGGAGAACATAGACACGAATAAAAGAAACAGAAAGTGAGGTGTTTCAAACACATTGACTTGAAGGATGTCAATACAGGCGTGGCATAGAGTCTAAAAACGGCGGAGTGGTCTAAACTAGTTTTGAGGGGCGGGTGGTATGAAATCAGATAAGGTGTCTTTGTCCGGGAAAAGGGTGAGGATTTTCAGCCATAAAAAAAAACAGGTTGGTATGTCCAATCAGAAGAGTATGTCAAAGAAGAAAAGGCCATCAAGGTCAGTTATGGAAGAGTTGGTCGCTGGCGTTGTGCAGGATGTCCGCAACTCGGTCCACCCATTCCTGGGTTTGAGTCCAGTTGCCTGAATCAATGCTGTCCCGAATAGCTGGGAAGAAGGTCGGATCATAGCCAGACCACAACTGGGGACCGAAAATAACATGCTTGAATTGTGTGCGATTGGGTATCTGAAAAGCAACATCGTTAGTCTGGAATAATTTTGTTTTCTAGTCCAAAAACAACTTACTCCGCCATCCTCTCGATCATCCAAAAGATGAGTTTCAAAGGCAGCCATCCGAGCATTATAAGACATCCGTTGAATAGCCATCACGTTGTTTTCGAAGCCTCCAGATCCCCAGACTGCGTCGTGCCACACCTGGGCCCACTTTTGGAACTTGGCAGCGTCGCCCTGGAATTTCGCGGCGGCGTTATACAGAGCCTCGAAGGTGACGGAGGCATCTCGCCCAGCCTTATCTTTGTGGGCGATTGGAACCTTCTTGGACTTGGCATAATTTTCCAAATCGGTGACATAGACGGCGATACGCTCCGCGTAGATCTCCAAATCGAAGGGCAAAATCGGGTTGTCCGCAAATTGAAGGAGTAACAAGCCCCAGAACTGGCCCAAACTCTTGTGATACCGGAATCCTGGGTCTCCAAACTTCGTCATCCAGTCCCAGTTTTCGTAACAACTATGGTAGGGAAATGGTTGGCCGGTGAATCCGAAATCCACACTGGACGTTCCAGCTATGTCCTGGAAAGCAACGTAGTCACTGCCGGAACCCAGAGGAGCCAGCTGTTTCTGTTTCTTCTCCCAGATGTCTTTTAGCGTCTCGTTGGTGACCGGATCCGAGATGCGGGCCAGGATCTGCATGACGACACGCTCGAAAACGGGACAACCTGCTGCCTCGAAGTCCTGGCCTCCGACACCGACATCAACGTTGATGTAGGCATATGCATTATCGCGCAAGGTTTCCAATTCCTTCTCGACGTGCTCCGTGGAGCCGATGATGTTGTACTCTTCTGCATCCCAGCTGACGAACTCGATGGTACGTAAGGGGCGCCACCCCAGTTCGAGTAGCTCGCCGAACACGCGAACAAGCTCGAGGAAGACGGCAGTACCGCTTCCTGGGTCGGCGCTGCCGACACACCATGAATCCCGATGGTTGCCAACAATGATTTTCTTTTCCGGTTGTTCAAGGCCAACGATCCTTCCAAACACGTTATAAATGGGCTGTCTTTCTACCTCATCCTGCAGATTGACGAGATTGACGGTGGGTGAGTCCTCATTTCCGGTCCACCACTGATCGATCTTCGGCACACCACCGACCCACTTCCTAGGAACCTTGGAGCCATGGCCTTTGAGGGCTTGTAGGAGTTTCTGAGCATCGCGCCAGGCCAGCGGCAAGCTCGGTATTCCTGTTAACCCCTGACTTTCCTCCGGCTTGAGTCGCTTGCTCTCGTCTGGCGTGGATGCAAACCCTGGAGACAAGACGTCTCCGACAACCCATGACATCAAACTTACACCGCCTCTTTGGACGCCGTCTGCCGGCATATATCGTCCCTTTGGGAAGGGGTCCCCGCGCACGAAGCCATCCTCAGACGGATCGGAGTAGATTATACAGCCGACAGCACCGGCGAGTTCGGCAGCTTTAACTTTCAGGGCCCGATCAGTTTCAGACCCGTAATATCGAACCAATGCTATAGAGCCATTCACGGAGACCCCCTGGTCGGCCAGGTATTGAAAATCTTCTTTGGAGCCATAGTTCGCATACACAAGCGGTCCCGTAACATTTCCCGATTTTGAGTGACCATGGAAGACCGGTGTTTTCTGGTTGTCATCCTTAATATCTTCCTCGAGCTTCGCTTCCCAGGCCAGGTCTGGGGGGTCGACGATAGCCACCCTTCTTCCATCCGAAGTGGGATAGTTGAGATACACCTGAAACTCTTCCATTTCGATCTCATCCAGTCCGGCGTTCCGGAACTCTTGTTCAATCCATTCGGCCAACACGTAGCTTCCTTCGGTGCCAGCCATGTGAGGAAACTGCGTGACCCTTCTCAAATTCTCCGCGATGTTCGTTTCGTTGATGTGGCCCTGGATAAAGTTCTCCACAGATGCTGCACTGTAGGATTGTCCCATGATGAATCGGGTGTTCATGTTGAAGATATCCGAAACAAAGAAAACATAAACAACGGTAACCACCAGTAGCAGACCAAATACACGCAGCATGATCATACATCCGTGGTTTTGCATTGTCGAACGAGCGGTGTCGAGGTTGACGGTGAAACGGAAGTTTGGAAGGTATCGACGTAGCGGGAGGTGTATCGAGGACAAGGTGCGAGTTAGGCTGTTGAACCGTTTGGAAACTTGAGCGCGCAATCTCGAATGCCGACTTGGCCGTTGATTCGGGTCCTCCACGTCCATCTGAGCGAGCTCCCGCTGCAGTTCCTCGAGAGAGCCTCTTTCCGACCCTGGGGCCGACGATTCGAGGTCGTCGACGCTATTCCGAGCGGACTCGACGGTGGGGGGATGGTAGCCATGAAACCGGGGTCGGTGTCCCTCGTGTGTCGTGTTAGCGTCGGCATCATGGAGTAAGCCCTGTCTTTCGGCATGGCTGCTAGGTTCGTCGGGATCATGTTCGGATCGCGATGAGCCCGGGCGAGAGGCAGTAGCCTCATCGTAGGTGGGGATAGGGAGAGCTTCGTATTGGATTTTATCGTCGTTGCCCATGGTGGCAGGTACAGGGCTCCGGGGAGCCGTGCGAGTTGGACACAGTCACAGATACCGGACTAAGCGGGATCATGGTCTGGAAAGGAAAGGAGTGACAGTCGCAGACATGCTCCCCGATTGGAGGGAAGATCCAAGCGGCCGAAAGGGGCAGCGCAAAAAAGAAAGAGGTGACGGGGGGGGAGTTAGGTGGATGGTGAGAGGGGGCCGGAGAGGGCGAATACCGGGCAAAAAGGAGTGAGGTTATCGAAGCGTCGCAGGCGGCGTTGCTTTTCCCCAGACCGTCACGGAACACGCGTGGCGCAGGGCAGACAAGAGAAGTGACCCACGCTCGGCACCCTGATAGTAAGGAATAGTAAGCAGGCAGAAGGGTTTTGGTGCGCCCACTGGCTGCCAGTCGCTCTCATCCTCCGTAGAGATGCAGGTCCGACTCTCCCATCATGATGGAGATGAGAACCAACGATGAAAGATGGAATTAGCACCGATCGGATGTAGAAGAGGCAAGGAAGCTTGACGACTGTTTGAAGTGGAGGAAAGAGAAAAAGAAAAAGGAAAGGCGAGACTGGCAAAATTGAGAAAAGAGGAAAAAGACCAAACGGTGACGGGGGATACCGGTATTCATACATGGACTACTGTTACATACCACGGGTGCCCCTGGCAGTACAGCCACAGATACTTTATTATCCACCCAGAATACCCGTCACTGCAGGTACTCTTTTCTCTGTGACCATACCAGGACTGTCGTCAGGTATTGTCATAACATATCATCGCTAGGAACGGACAATCGTTCCATTGATCTACAGGGCAGGGCTGTAGGATTCAGGTGAAAAAGAGTCTTCCATGCTTAGTGTGATGTTCTCGTGAATTATCCATATTTGCACGATGCATTAGAACCAACTAACTATCTCTGACAAAGGACCCAAATTGACAGTCATGATATATATTCATGGTATGCACATACTCGGTACGGGGTATACTTCGTAGGGCTTTCCGCCGGGATATATATAGTATATACACCGGGACTATCTCTCTACTGTGTAAAAGACAAGAAAGCCTAGAGTTGTAAGAATCTAAGAGCAATTTTCTTCTCCCACGGAGCACCCAAACGACGCCCTACCGCTAAAATCATTTCCTTGCCGGCTAGACCGGATCAGTCGTTGAACGGTGACGATTTGTCGCATGGTCCAGGACCCAGGTACAAGTTACAAGCGAGGCACGCAAGATTGAGGGACCGTTACCAGCCAAAGACCTAAGACTGGAACGCAGTGGAGTCTTCTGACGATAGTTCCTACTCGATTGATCCGAGTCCGCGTGTGGAATGGGCAAGACGAATAGGAAACCCCTCTCGCATTCCACCTCGGGGTTGAATACCGCAAGAGGTTTTGGCAGAGATCGGACTTTTCCGTCGGGTTATGTATGCATTCCCAGTGTCCCACTACCCTCTGTGACAAGTTGACAACCTATTTACTCCGTAATCACCGAATCAGTCCGTACTCGGGGTTTCTTCGCAGGGAGTGGCATCCACTGAAATCCTTGTTCCAGACGAAGTTCTCGGCAAAACGGAGCCCTCTGGCCCTGGTTTCGCCCGTAGGATCCACATGATAAGATTGATTAATCCTGGAATGGATTTTATTATCGTAAGAATGGGCTGGCCAGCTTGCATCGCTGTCGTGCAGAGTAGATGATATTATCTAAAGAATGACCTTGGGGGAGGGGCTCGTTGATATGATGGGATGAAGAGATGGAGAGAGCTGGGAACGAAGAACCCGACGGGAACCCGATATCGCACCTCTCATGATCTGTTGGTTTTTTTTTTTTTCTTCTTTTCTTTTTTCCTTTCTGCTCAAGCCCTGACTTGCTTTCTTTACTATGTCAGCCTCGGCCGACAATCAAATTTAGTAGTTCGACACGAGAGTCAGAAAGCCTACTCCGTAGTATGCTAGCATCATTGATAGGGACGAGTATCCACGGATGTCATGCAGCAAGCCCAGGAATACGACGGCTGATATCATCGATGCTCATATCGGCCAAATACATGGTGCCGAATCTAAGGTGGCAATTTCTGATGGTCTGATACACCGTCGATCATGCTTGCATTGAGATCCATGCAGGATGTATGTATGTACTCTGCCGGAATGTAGATTTGTTCGGGAGTACGAGAGGTACTCCGTCCTACGCGGTCCATTTATTGTGATTGGGGGGGGGGGGGGGGGGGGGGGTTGAACGGGCCCCCAGGGCCATTCCGAGCGAACATTCCAAACAATGTAGGTAGTCTCTCTCGTTGCATCCATCGGCCCTTCAGGTTGAGTCTGAAGTATCGTATCTCGGAAGTTCGCGATAGGACGCCGGGGGCATCACGAGGTAGACGAGTCGCACGAAGAGTCGGTGAGGTCAGACCGGAGGAAAGCAAGCAGACGAGAAAAGCTCGAAAAGGGGCCGAAGCCAGAGACAAGTCAGGGGCCTTCCAGACAACGCAACGAGCGAAGGAAATGGAAAAATTGTCTCATAGAAAGGGCTTCTAGTATGTAGAGTACCGTGTATATCCCATCCTGGAGAAGCAGTGGGGATTTTTTAATCTGTTGATCCGCTCGGGTCACGCCTCTGCGGATGGAGCTATTCCCTATTCAGTGAGTACGCTAGCCTGTCGGGGTTTAACGTCTACACCTCAGGCTGCCATAGCCCCCCCGCCAGCCCGGGAGGCGCCTGAAAGTTGCCTGAATAAAAAAAAAAAGAAAGAAAAAGGGACCCGCCTTCCAGCCAGACTAGCCGATAACGAACCAGCTTCGTTCACGTTGGCTCGCAAGGGCAAGAATTATTACTGTCCTGCTCCAATTCTTATATCTACACCTCACTCGCCTTCTCTCTTCTTCCCTCTCGGTTCTTTTTCTTCTTCTTCCTTCTCTTCCATATCTCCCTACTTGTCATCTTCTATTTCCCTCCCTTTTATACTCCTGTCAAACCTACAATTCCTCTTCCTCTTCTCCCTGATACCCCTCTGTGATTCTACCGCCCCTCGATTCCTACCCATCTTCCCCCCCTTATCACACCGCCATTATGTCTGCTCGTCCCCAGAACATTGGTATCAAGGCCATTGAGGTCTACTTCCCCAGCCAGGTATGCACTTCTTGAAGCCCTGTCAATTTCTCGTTCTTCTCCGAGAACAATAACAAAGAAAGCAAAAAGTGGGGTTCAGGCTAACGATTGTTTGCAGTGTGTCGACCAGTCCGAGCTGGAGAAATTCGATGGCGTGAGCGAGGGCAAGTACACAATTGGTCTGGGTCAGACCAAGATGAGCTTCTGTGATGACCGTGAGGGTACGTTTGTTGTCCACCCATCCTCCCCGGATTTTGGACCATGTCCTTCCTTTCTTATACCCCTTTACGCCCTGAGGCTACAATGCTAACGATCTCCTCGACAGACATCTACTCCATGGCTCTGACCACCCTCTCCTCCCTCATCAGCAAGTACAACATCGACAAGAACAACGTTGGTCGTCTGGAAGTTGGTACCGAGACCCTCTTGGACAAGTCCAAGTCCGTCAAGTCCGTCCTGATGCAGCTCTTTGCCCCTGAGAACACCAACATCGAGGGTATCGACACCGTCAACGCTTGCTACGGAGGTACCAATGCCGTCTTCAACAGCATCAACTGGGTCGAGTCCTCCGCCTGGGACGGCAGAGATGCCATCGTCGTCTGCGGTGACATTGCCCTGTACGCCAAGGGTGCTGCTCGTCCCACCGGTGGTGCTGGCTGCGTTGCCATGCTGATTGGCCCCGACGCTCCTATTGTCTTTGAGCCCGGTCTCCGTGGCAGCTACATCACCCACGCCTACGACTTCTTCAAGCCCGACCTGACCAGCGAGTACCCCGTTGTTGACGGCCATTTCTCGCTCAAGTGCTACACCGAGGCCGTCGATGCCTGCTACAAGGCCTACGACGCTCGTGAGAAGACTCTGAAGGAGAAGGCCCAGAACGGCAGCAACGGTACTGCCCAGGACGACAGCAAGACCCCCTTGGACCGATTCGACTACATCCTGTACCACGCTCCCACTTGCAAGCTGGTTCAGAAGTCGTTCGGTCGTATGCTGTACAACGACTACCTCGCCAACCCCTCCCACCCCGCCTTCGCCGAGGTGGCCCCCGAGCTGCGCGACCTGTCCTACGACCAGTCTTTGACCGACAAGAGCGTCGAGAAGACCTTCATGGGTCTGACCAAGAAGCGCTATGCTGAGCGTGTGCGCCCCGGTCTGGATGTTGCCACCCTTTGCGGTAACATGTACACTGCTACCGTCTACGCCGGTCTGGCCAGCTTGATCTCCAACGTCAAGTTTGACCCCGCCGAGGCCAAGCGCGTTGGTATCTTCTCCTACGGCAGTGGTCTTGCCGCTTCCATGTACAGCGCCAAGATTGTCGGCGACGTGTCTTACATGGTTGAGAAGCTCGACCTCCACAACCGTCTCAACGGCAGAACCGTTCTGCCTCCCCAGGCTTACGATGACGTAAGGAAACGTCTTACCCCTCATAATACCTGCTCTTGACTAACGTACATTTAGATGTGTGTCCTTCGTGAGCATGCTCACCTGAAGAAGAACTTCAAGCCCTCTGGCAAGACGGAGACGCTGTACCCCAAGACCTACTACCTCTCCGAGGTGGATGACATGTTCCGACGCCAGTACGAAGTCAAGGCCTAAGTAGTGCTTAGCGCTTCATAGACCTTGCTCACGTTATTTGCTTTTTGTGCTGAACCCAACCGGTTCTCTTTATAGACGGTTCACTAGACTTCCTCCCTCGTCACCAGGATCCTAAGATTTCCGTACAGAATTCGGGTCTGGTGTGCCGATGGTTTCTGTTTGTCTTTGCATTGTCTGGGTTTCGGGGATAGGTATCTCCTATACAGGAGCCGGGATGACGACTATGATGATGCTCTTTAGATAAGGTGGCGCTGGAATGCTTCCGGATTCACGAGAAGACTCTAAAGCTTCTTTTTCTTTTTTACCTCTATTGATATCAACTTAATTAATCAAATCTATGGTTTTACTCATTACATATGTTTCTTTTCTTTGCATTTGCTCTCCCGCAATTTATTTGATCTTTATTGCTAGTATGTGCTTTCAGGTACCTATTGAAGTCGGACCTTTGTCGGGCTGCTGACTTAAGCCACGAACGAGCCCCAAACCCTCTTCCTACTTCTTGAACCTCAACCTCAACCTCAACCTCAACCTCACCATTTTGGTGGAACCACCCGAGGATACAAAGATAGATCCTGCAGAAAGTCAAGATTGCTGCAGAACTCAAAACAAACTATTTCCCTTTTCACAAAAATAGCAGTTTCGCAGAACGATTTAGATCATGTTTGTCCACTCCTTACCCGCCGACGCTACCTATCGCGCCGTCACCCATCTTCGTTCTTCCTTTTTCTCCCCTGCTCGTCCAATCCGAATAAAGTAGCAGAGGTAGTTCATTAATTTCGATCAAGCCCGATGGTGATTTGTCCGCTTCATCGAAGCCAAGCATGCTGCAGGTTCCCAGGAAAGAGGAACCACTCAGGGAGCCTGGCGCCCACCTGGGTCGTGCGAGCCGGCGCGTACGGCACCCAATTTCATTTGCTCCGAGCCATGGGCATCATTCACCCAGTGGGTGTATTCTTAGGACTCGGGCATCTTGAAACTATTGCACCTACTGCTGTGGCCCTGGCGCTTGGTCAAACTCGCTTTCATTGGTCTGCACCCGCGGTTTCTTCGTGCCTCTGTTGCCGTTCCTCTTCGATCTTTGGCGCCGCGAAGTGCAATCACCCTTTCTTTCCCCAGGGACCACATCTTGTGAAAGTATGCCAGTCATTTACTTCCCTCTTGCCGCCCATTGATGAACCTCAGGCGTGTCGCTTCTGGGGAGATTAAATTAGCAACATTTGACCGAGAATAGCATGAAACGTGAATGCTGCCGATTATAGATCTTATTTTAGATCACAACGAACCATTTCCTAGATGGGGAAGGCCTCTGATCTCGATTAGATCTGAAGACTTGCAGAAGGTGCAAAATTAGCAACATTTTGACGCGCGACTGTTAGATGAAACAGTCATGCTGGCCGTCAATGGCTCTGAGGATCGTTTGTTTCGCGCATCATCCGAGATGCCGGCAGCCCATATGTCGATTCCCTCTCGATTGCCCTTCTGGACACCCTGGAGTCCGGCGATTTGGCGTCAAGATGGAGCATAGATTGTGTTTCATGTTGTCGTCCCCTGCTCCTGTTGACCGGCTATCTCTTTTACATCGGGGCCGTGTGGCTCCAGGCTCGAAGAGCATTTAACATCCAAACATTTCCGGTCTGGATATGCAAGAATTCCTCGTGGCAATTCATACGAGCAATGAACCGCCTGTGATTCCTTGTTCGAGTGCTGTGCAATTGCCCTTTTCTTTCTTCGTCTATATTGAACCAATTCATTCTACTGCCAAAGACCATTCCTTTCTACATACCACTGGGAGCTGGCTCTTCCAAGAAGGCATCGATCGACCTACCCTACTGCGACTGCTATCCTTGTCGATCCTCATTCTCTCTTCTAAAACTTCAATAATAATCATGTCACTTCAATACTCCCACTACCGGCCAACCACTCCACCAGGCCTGCCAATGGGAGAGTATATCCGTACCGGCGGTCACAGTCGCAATGCGTCTGACTCGTCCGTGTACTCTAATGACTCGTCCCCATGGTCTGCGGTCACCTCGACCACCAGTGCGAGTGATGACTCGCCGCCCCGGCATCACCATGGACCTACTTTACTTCCCAAGATCAGATCGCAGGACGTGATAATCGAGCCGGCCCCCGTTGGTGGCCAGCAACGTCAACGCCGTGTCCTGTCAAACACCCGAAATCCACCCGGCTTTCTTCCATATCCTCCCAGTCGGGCTTCGGGGCAGCGCAATGCCGGAGAATCTGCAGCCTTGCTATCTCCGGTTTCACCGATGTATGCGTCCTCTCACCACGGTTCGACATTGTCATCCCCCGTCAGTATCACGCCGTCGCACAAGCGCAAGTCTTCCAGCGGGCACTCTCGCGCAGGGTCTTGCTCTAGCATCGACGAGGCAACTTTGAACCGATACGGCTATCCCACCTACCGGCAGCTTCCTAGATACTCTGTCCCGCAAACCTCCCCCACAACGCCGGTGACGCCGGTCACGCCTAATATCGTTGTATACCCGCCCTACACACATTGCTCGCAAGGCACCGCGCAAGTCAGTGTTCAAACTTGTACTCAGGTGCCGCTGATATTGCCCGCCTCCCCCTACGGCTACTCTCGAGTTCCGAGTGCCCAAAGCTCGCCCGTCGGGTTTGTCCACCCCGGTGATGGACTACACCCTCAATCCACCAATCTACTTTGCTATTTGACCGCACCCACGCAAGCTATCCACCTTGTGCGGAATGTGAGCGTGATCCCTACGCGGGGGATGCATGACTACTTCTGGTGGGACGTCCGGAATCTGCGCAGCTGGACCTCTTTTTCGCTGCGCACTTTCAATTCTATCAGCGGCCTCACCAAGCTCTTGAAAACCACCATCTCTTCGCATTTGACGCCGCCCACAGCGGTATCAAGCTCTCGCCTTGCGCCCGACTCCGAGGCCTCTTTGGTGAATCTGATACATGATTTGTATGCGCCTCGTGTGAACGCAGCTCTAGCTGTCTCCCAGGGGACCGAGCATCTGACGCTCTACCCGGCTCCCGTCCCGCGCACCACCGCCAACAAAAACTACGGCGGACCCCATTTCCTGGCCAACTACGCCTCGGACAGCGAACAAACGAGCTCTGGGTTGCCCCGTGGCCGGCTCGTTGGCATCGTCAAGACCTTCGACCGTTGGAACACTGGGATGCGCAACGAAGCCCCCCATCGACGGGTTGAGTATCTCAACGGCTTGGCGCACCTTCAACGGTGCATGCGCGAACATTCCTGTCGGTATGGCTTCATCATCACCGAGATCGAGCTTGTTTGCGTACGAGCAGGGTGCGACGAAGGCGACGACGTGCCCTACTTCGGCTTCCTGGAAGTGTCCCCTCCCATCCCCACGAAGATTGCCGCGGGACACAGTAGCAGACACTCGAGAGCATCAGAACCCTACGCCAACTCTCCGACGCCCTCCAGCGACAGTTCGCTGGCCAGCCAGTCTCCGCTCCTCGACGGGACCCCGGAACCAGCCCCAAACGCCCTCGACGTCCCCCTGACTGCCAGCCTAGCGCTGTATTTCTTGCTCATGCTATCAAAGTCGGTTCCCTTGCCATCTCAGCCATCGGCGCACCTCAACGTCGGCGGACCGGGTGCATTGACGCGCCAGCGTATCTTACCGGAAGGAAAGGACAGTTGGATCCCACAGCCGCAAATCGGCGAGCGTCGCGACGCAAAGCGAGTGCGCGGCTGGGTATGGCCGCAAGATGCCTGGCATCGACGCGAGGGGGGAGGAGTTCCGCGTTCGCGAGCAGGGGAGCCCAAACCGAAGAAATGGCATAAATGATCATCATGTATGGAATGGGAATCTGTTTCATCTTATGTAGTTCTGTTGATAAATTTATTTTGGGATAATAATTTAATGTTCATAAGGCCCGCGAAATAGAACCTCTTTCTCTACCCACACTTACCCGTTCTCCAACGCCTATGGAGAACATAGACCATGAATCCAAACATCACGACTTACAAGGTAGTCAATAGGAATCGCCACTATTACTATACTATTTGATATTTCCATCTTCCCCAAGGTCCTCATGACGCCAATCATGCCGTGCAACGTACATTGCTTCCATCTCGAGCCACTCCCAAGGACCTTGGGATCCGAGTACCCTGTGAGATCGGATCACCGAGGTACGTACGATCATTAGCCACCGCGCATTCTATAAAAGATGGCGTGAGTAAACGGACGCATGGATCTGAGTCGAGTCTTCGTACACCTCTTTGCCGCTCTTATTAATATCATAGCCAACATAAACTATAACCACCGTCTCCCACCCCCCAAACAACTAAACAAACAATGGGAGGTCCTACAGCCACAACTACAGCTGCGACCTCATTCCCGGACCTCCTCGATGTGATCGTCGTCGGAGCCGGGCCCTGCGGTCTGGCCGTCGCGGCACGTTTAAACGAAGAGACGCCCTCGGCCATGTTCACGGACGAAGAGCATCAACGATACCACTGGATCAACAAACACCGCGGCCGAATGGCGCTGGTGCGCTCGCACCATCGGAAGATGAAGGGAGTCAAGGCCGAGAAATGGCAGGGTTTCGATGCTCGGCGCACGAGTCAATCCCATAATCCCCCTTCTGACTCGTCGTTATCGTCGTCTCCACCGCCGCTGTCATCCTCGCCGTCGTCGTCTGTCTCGTCGTCGGCATCGGATATCGACTTTGAGGATGAGGGTCCGTATAATGAAGGGGGGTTGTCGATGATGGTGCTGGATAGCACGGGGGATCGATGGATGGAGAGGTGGAATCGGGCGTTCAAGACACTCGAGATCGAGCAGCTTCGGAGTCCTATGTTCTTTCACGTTGATCCGAGTGATCGGGACGGTATGTTGGCGTATACGCAGGAGACGGGCCGGGAGAGAGATCTCTGGGAGATTTCAGGTTGTGTGGGGAAAGAGATGAGCAAGCATAAGAAAAAGAAGAAGTTACAGACGAAGTCCCAGTAAGAGATTCCTTTTGATGTCAGCGTGTTGTGATCGCAGATGGCTAATACGAGACATGAAACCGCGCAGGGTTATCGGGGAAGCGGAGATCGATGAACGAGATCGAAAAGACTACTTCTCTCCGTCGACGGGCCTCTTTTCCGATTACTGTTCTAGCATCGTATCGCGGTACGGACTCGATAATCCCGGCTTGATCTCGCAGTGCGAGGTGGAGGATCTGAAATACGACGTTCACCCGGAGTTGTCGCCATCCGACAAAATCTTCACGGTGACTACGAACGACGGAAGGCAGCTCTATAGTCGGGCAGTAGTATTGGCCATCGGGCCTGGTCGAACGAAGATCTTTCCGCTCAAATTGACGAAGGAAGAGGAGCAGGGTGCTTGCCACAGCACGGAAATCCGAACCTTCCCTAGCCCCAACGTCAGGCAGAAGATCCAGCAACGGCAGCAAACCAACCTAGTCGTCGTGGGCGGAGGCCTTTCCTCCGCGCAAATAGTGGATATGGCCATTCGCAAGGGGGTCAGCAAAGTGTGGTTACTCATGCGATCAGATTTCAAAGGTAAGTGAATCAAATCAGCCTGGTAACCAGGGCTTAACTGACCCGCTCTCAGTCAAACATTTCGACATCAGCCTGTCCTGGATGGGCAAGTTCCGCAACTACGAAAAGGCCGCCTTCTGGTCTGCCGACACGGACGAGGAGCGGATGGAGATGATCAAGGCCGCACGCAACGGAGGCAGCATCACGCCGCGGTACACGAAGATCCTGAAGCAGCATGCAGCGCGCCACCGGGTCTCCATCCATCCACGCACGGTGATCAGCGGGCGAGAGTTCTGCACCGCCTCGCAAACCTGGCGTCTCACCACCGATCCGCCGATTCCGGACCTCCCTCGCATCGACTACATCTACTTCGCAACGGGCATGCAGGCGGACGTCACGGAGCTTCCGCTGCTGCAACGCATGAACCGCGAGTACCCGATCGAGAGCAAACAGGGGCTCCCGTGCATCACGGAGGACCTGATGTGGAAGGCAGACGTTCCGCTGTTCTTGACGGGACGCCTTGCTGCGCTCCGTTTGGGACCGGGAGGCCCCAACCTGGAGGGAGCGAGGCTGGGAGCCGAGAGAGTGGCATGGGGGATGGAGGAGGTGCTGGGACGGAAGGAGTCCGAAGAGAAGAACGAGACCGAGCGGTCGAAGGAATGTTTCTGTGGCTTGGGGAACCGGTACGCTGAGTTGGGTGAAGTGAGTTGGTAGTTGGTGGTTATCATGATTAGCCCTAAGTTGGGAGTGAGATGGAAGAAGTGGTTAGTAGCAGTTAGTTTAGAGCGTCCCTCGGTATATGTCCGTTATGTTATTTACAATACGAATAAATGACAGATTGTACCCGCAATATGAGTGTAAGAGCGTAACTTACAGGTCACAGTAACAGTACCAGACAGTAAGTGACCATACCAAAACGATGCTGCCTAAGGGGAGCGAGTACTTCTCTTCCCTCCGCCCTCTGCTTCTTCTCCTCTGCTCTCTCTCACACTCTCTCGTTCTCCATCAAATCTCTCGTCTCTCCACTTCGCACCGTCGTTTTCTTATCTAACCCAATTTCAATCTGGCATTAAACTTTCTAAGCCTCAAGTCATCACCCCACTGCACATGTCAGTCTGAATCAGCGTGCCTGGTGGAGCGTATGTTTACCGCTGAGTATAATGCATCTGCCACAACAGCCACCATGAGATAAGAATGATTAATGAGACACCAAACCGCAGTCGCAAGAGCGGCGCCACTCCGCTGGCACGCGATCCAATTCAAAGGGCCGACGACCAAGCATGGTGTCTCTCCATGGGTATGACTTTCGAATGATTCCAGTATGATGGAAGCCGCACAGCCACGTTCATCAGCCACATCGGCGAGCCCTCGTGGAGTTGCGCCACAGTCAGGGGGGGGCAACGTCACATCGAGGGCGATGAAGCAACTACTAGCAGGCTAGTAGCTACCCAGCTTCAGAAAGCAAAAGCGAAAAAAAGCATAATTTACCGATTCTTCCCATTGGTGCTCATGACGCAAATTAATACCTCTGATGTGCACGACACGTTCTGGACTGCTTTCGGACTGGACAAATGAGGCGCAGCCGACCGCCAATTCGCCTTCGCTGGAAACTTGGCGGCAAAAATCTCGACCCAGCTCCCCCTACTCTGTACTGTGTAGGTTCTGGCTTCCTTGCCAGCCAGTCAGAGTGTCTCATGCGCTATGTCATGTATGCTGATCGGCTCTCCACCGCGCGATTGGCGGCGTTGGAGCTCTCTCGCCGCCGTCGCTTCGTTACGCGCCCCGGTTTCTGTATACGACCATCATCCCGTGCCTTAGTCGGCGCCTAACCGATTGTTGATGCTTCCACTCAGAGCTCGAGATCAAGATGCGAGAATGAACAGCGGCGGAAGGGAGGAAAGCCCCCGCTCTATTTGTTGGGTTAAAGGAGGGTGAGAAAAAAAAGAGGATCTCGACCCTCACCCCCTTTTGACTTCTCGGGAGATTGTCTAAGGAGGCTGTGCAGAGGGGAAGACGTCCCGGACATGTTACCCAAGTCTTTTGGACCACTCATGTTGGCGCTTAAGTCACTCGCCTCTCTTGTTTCGTCTTCCCCCCTCTTCCACTAGAGACAATGCAGAAGAGAGACCCTGCAGAGTGACTCCGACTTTCCTTTCGTGTCCGTATCCTCTCACTGGAACACTTGGCAACTACCCGTTTTCGCCTGAACAGCACCGAGGAAGGGAAAGGCGCAATCGAATAAGGATCCTGGACCCGCAAATATTTATTATTCTGGTTTAAATTATATTTTGGAAATAAACGTAAAAAAGGAGGGTTCAGAAATAACCTTTCGACATACTAATCTCTTATGCAAACGTTACTGGAGACTATCTGATTAGGCAGCCTAGGCAATTTACACAGCCTCAGGGAAAGCAGCTAAATAAAAGAACTCGCACATGCCCTTAATTTTGAGGGATTTCTGATGCATACCTCCTGTTAATGTCAAGTCCACCTTGCAATCTTTGCTTTTCATCAAATCACATTGTCCGTCGGTCGCATGATGCCGACCCCAGACGATTCTCGTCAGGAAGGGTTTCTGAATCCTTTTGCAGGGATCTCTGCCACAGAGGTATGTAAACCTGTGTCAGACCTGGTCCTTGTCCTCTGATGGGAACTGGTCCGATATCCATGATACTCATATACTCTCCACCAGTCTTCCTCCCCCGATTCATGGCACACCGATATCTCACCTATACAGCCATCGCCGCCAGCAGATATGGCTGCTACCCTAGATACTAACCGGTTAACCGTCCAACATGGTCCACCTCGCACGTCACACTCGTTAGATGGCGAGACGCTCCGCTCACGGGCAGACTCAACCATCTCAAGCGCTGATACCGCTGTCCGGTCAAGGGCCAACTCGGCCGCCACCACGGCCGTATCCAGCAACACAGCATACGACGATGTCTCGGTGGCCGACGCCCTGAACCCGGACCCCCGGAATGAGAAGGACTTTGAAGTGGAGAACAACAAATTCGCCTTCTCGCCTGGCCAGCTCAATAAGATGCAGAATCCAAAGTCTCTCGCTGCCTTCCAGGCCCTCGGTGGTCTGCGGGGTCTCGAACGAGGCCTGCGGACCGATCTCACGTCGGGTCTATCGATAGACGAGTCCTATCTGGAAGGTTCGGTCACTTTTGATGAGGCGACATCACTAGACAAGTCTCCTGTGAAGCAACAACCTACTCAACCCCTCGAGACATCAACGGCAGGTGCCGAGTCTCAGTTCGTCGACCGACTGCGCGTCTACAGTCAGAATCGGCTTCCCGCTCGAAAGTCCACCGGCTTCCTGAAGCTGCTATGGATGGCTTATAATGACAAGATCATCATTTTGCTGACCATTGCCGCCATCGTCTCGCTCTCGCTGGGAATCTACGAGACGACCAGCTCCGGCTCGGGCGTTGACTGGATCGAAGGTGTTGCTATCTGTGTGGCCATCCTGATCGTGACGGTTGTTACTGCTGCGAACGATTGGCAAAAGGAACGGCAGTTTGCCAAACTCAACAAGCGAGTAAGTATCCTTCTCCCGTCTGTTTGGGTCTTCCGTATTTAACCTGCTATAGAACAATGACCGTGAGGTCAAGGCTGTCCGCTCCGGCAAAGTGGCCATGATCTCGATCTTCGATATCACCGTCGGAGATGTCCTTCACCTGGAGCCCGGTGACTCGATTCCCGCAGACGGACTGCTCGTCTCGGGTCACGGCGTGAAATGTGACGAGTCCTCTGCTACGGGAGAGTCGGACCAGATGAAGAAGACCGATGGCTACGAGGTCTGGCGGCAGATCAACAACGGCACAGCCACCAAGAAGCTCGACCCTTTTATGATCTCCGGAAGCAAAGTGCTTGAAGGTGTGGGGACCTACGTGGTCACCAGTGTTGGGCCGTATTCGACTTATGGACGCATTCTGCTGTCGCTGCAAGAATCCAATGATCCTACCCCGTTGCAGGTCAAGCTGGGGAGGCTTGCTAATTGGATTGGATGGTTGGGGTCGAGGTGAATACATCCCAACTGACTGTCTTCTTTCTCATGCTAATAATCTCTGCCAGTGCCGCAATTGTTCTTTTCTTCGCCTTGTTGATTAGATTCCTTGCCAACCTCTCGCATGATCCCGCCAGTCCTGCCGTCAAAGGAAAGGAGTTTGTCGATATTCTGATCGTCGCTGTCACTGTGATTGTGGTTGCAATTCCTGGTAAGTGCTCCGTTAAAAATTCTCACAGCCAATGCTAATCACCATGCAGAGGGCCTTCCGCTGGCGGTTACTCTCGCCCTCGCCTTTGCCACCACACGAATGGTCAAGGAAAACAACCTCGTCCGCGTGCTACGTGCCTGTGAAACCATGGGCAATGCAACCGTGATCTGCTCGGACAAGACCGGTACTCTGACACAGAACAAGATGACTGTCGTTGCGGGAACCTTGGGACCTCGCAGCTTCAGTTCCGGCACTGAGGAGTCCAACACTGGCTCGGTGGCCGAGACGCTCAAGCAGTGCTCACCCAAGGCTCGTGATCTGATCGTCAAGAGCATTGCCCTCAACTCTACCGCTTTCGAAGAGGACAAAAACGGTACCCGGGAATTCATCGGCAGCAAGACCGAGGTGGCCCTGCTGCAACTGGCTAGGGATTATCTCGGCATGGATGTCACCTCCGAGCGGGCCTCGGCGGAGATCGTCCAGCTGATCCCCTTTGACTCGGCCCGCAAGTGTATGGGCGTTGTGTACCGGGAACCCACTGTGGGCTTTCGCCTTCTTGTGAAGGGAGCAGCGGAGATAATGGTCGGCGCTTGCTCAACCAAAGTGTCCGAGGTGGACGCAAAGGATGGTATCGCTGTTGACGGGTTCACCGATGGCGACAGCCGGAAGATGCTCGACACCATCGAGTCGTATGCCGGCCAGTCTCTGCGGACCATTGGTCTTGTGTACCGGGACTTCCCAACCCTTCCCAGCTGGCCCCCCAAGGGGATCCACATGGAAGATGACCCGGACTCGGCGAAGTTCGAAGAAATCTTTCGGGATATGACTTGGCTTGGAGTGGTCGGCATCCAGGACCCTCTCCGACCCGAGGTGCCAGCAGCCATCAACAGATGCAACTCGGCCGGTGTGCAGGTGAAGATGGTTACCGGTGACAACATGGCTACGGCCACGGCTATCGCATCGTCCTGCGGCATCAAAACGGAGGACGGTATTGCCATGGAGGGGCCCAAATTCCGACAGCTATCGGACGAGGAGATGAACGAGGTCATTCCCCGACTTCAAGTCCTCGCTCGCTCCTCGCCCGAGGATAAACGTATCCTGGTGGCGCAGCTCAAGAAACTGGGCGAAACAGTCGCGGTGACGGGCGATGGCACCAACGACGGCCCGGCGCTGCGGACGGCCGACGTGGGATTCTCCATGGGCATTGCCGGGACGGAGGTGGCCAAGGAGGCCAGCTCCATCATCCTGCTCGACGACAACTTCAAGTCCATCGTCACGGCGATTGCCTGGGGCCGAGCTGTCAACGACGCCGTGTCCAAGTTCCTCCAGTTCCAGATCACCGTCAACATCACCGCGGTGGTGCTGACCTTCGTCTCCTCCCTCTATAGCAGCGACAACCAGAGCGTTCTGAACGCGGTGCAGCTGCTGTGGGTGAACCTGATCATGGACACGTTTGCCGCGCTGGCGCTGGCCACCGACGCGCCGACCGAAAAGATCCTCAACCGCAAGCCGGTGCCCAAGAGCGCCTCGCTGTTTACCGTCATCATGTGGAAGATGATCCTGGGCCAGGCCATCTACCAGCTCGCGATCACTTTCATGCTCTACTTCGCCGGCGACCGCCTCCTTGGTGCACACCTCAGCGAGAGCAACGGACAGACGGAGCTCAACACGATCGTGTTCAACACCTTCGTGTGGATGCAGATCTTCAACGAGTTCAATAACCGCCGGCTTGACAACAAACTGAACATCTTCGAGGGCATGTTCCGCAACTACTGGTTCCTCGGCATCAACTGCATCATGGTCGGCGGCCAGATCATGATCGTCTACGTCGGCGGTGCTGCCTTTGGTGTCACCCAGCTCTCTGGCATCCAATGGGCCGTGTGCATCATCTGCGCTCTGGGCTGTCTGCCCTGGGCCGTGGTGCTGCGCCTGACCCCCGACCGACCCATTGAACTCGCCCTCAACGCCATCATCCGCGCCGGCAAAATCATCCTGCACCCGGTCGCCGTGGCCCTGCGTGGAGTGGGTGCCATGTGCAAGGCCGTCGCGCGGCCCGGGAAGCGAGTGTTCAAGAAGCCGGCCCAGGATGATACCCCTGTGCCGTCAGACGAGGAAGCCGTCAACTTGACGGATATGAAACAGCGACAAGCTACCCCCGAGGCGCCGATGACGCCCGTCTCGGTGCCTCCTATTACCATTACGACTTCATAGACGATGCTATTGATTGATACGACAGGGGTGAAGTTCACATTCACTCCGAGAGACCTGTATATTAATCGGGAACCTCCTAACGGGACTGGCGTTTGTTTTGTTTCAATTGGTTTTTGGAAGCATTTGCGAGGGAGTTGGTTGTGTTAGAGCATTTGGATTGTATAGTATTTTAGCGATTCGGGATCGTGCATTGTATTTTGGGTTGGGTTATTGTGTATGGATGAATTTCAAATGTCTGCATAAAGACACGGGTGCATTAAAACTGGGAATAAATTAATTAGATTCATCTTGAGGTTCTCATATCCAGTCTGTTCCTGTAGAAGCCTAGGAGTACATACTACATAGTCAGGGGTGCCTTAGAAGTTAGGCCACACCTCCGCACCGCCTCGTCCACCGCCACCGCGCATTCCCCGTCATCGTCTCCGCTGTGTCTCCCCTCGACTTGCCCTCATCTTGACAGTTGACACTGGCTTTACATCTCCAGGTACAGTCCCGTCCCAATTCCTACTGGCTACCTTATATACCATTCCAAACAGTCCACCAATCCAGCCAACCGAATAACTAACACTCTCAAACTACCTACCTACTAGATACTACCCCCTCTACCTAGCTACCTAAGCTTCCACCCCCAGCCAACAACCAACCCATACAAAAGAGTGTGACAAACAGCCAAAATGTCCCAACTCAACTACCGCACCATAAACGTCGACGTCCTGGACCCCGAGTCCTCCGCAAACTTCCCCATGGAGACACTCCTCCCCCCGACCCTCCCCGCGCCCACGACATCCAGCGACGCCGCCGGGGTCGCCTCGCAGGTCCGCCAGCTGCTCCGCTCCGGCGACCCCGAAGGCGCACTGCGTCAGGTGCTCGAGACCGCGCCGCTGGGCGGCGACGATCGCGCGAAGGAGGTCCATCTTGCGGCTGTCGTGGACGTGTTGCAGGGGATTCGGCAGGGGGAGATGATGCGGGTGTTGGAGGGTGTTTGTACCGGTGAGGGGGGCGATGAGAGGGCGGATTGTTTGATGAAGTATTTGTATGTTCTCCTCTTTTTTACCCCCTTCTTCCGTTCCTTTTTCACTTTATCCTCTTTGAAGAGGGAATCCCCTGCTGGGCCGATGGATGGGCTAATGGTTACTTTTTCTCGGACAGGTACAAAGGCATGTCTGCCTCCGGACCTAGCAGCGGTGCCCAGTCGCCGCGCAAATCGGTCTCTCCGCAGAGCACGGGGTTCTCGCAGATCCAGGCCCGGAATTTGGGTGAGGGCGGCGGTAGCCAGCAGATGAGCGTGTTGCTGAGTTGGCATGAGAAGTTGGTTGAGTTGACGGGGACTGGATCGATTGTGCGGGTCATGACGGATCGGAGGACGGTTTAGGATCTGTGTAGGGGATGGGGTGTGTTATTTTACTTTACTTTGTCTGTGCATAGATTATCTGTTCCTTCTTCTCTCGTCCCTGTTCTGAAAATGGGATAGTATTTTGTTCTGTTCTTCAGGTCTGGTTCATTAAGTTGTACAGTGTAACTATATATATTTCTTATACGATGTAGAACTTTTCTTGGCTCTCGTCTTTGCCTGGTTTATGAATGCTCGAATCCTCCACCACCCAACAGGTCCTTCAGATTCATCTCTCCGCTCCCTCTCTCCAACGGCTGTGCCTGTCCCTCACCCTCCTTCCACCCGATCATATAGATGAGGCGGAACGTCGCCGGGATACCACGGGCCCCCTCCTCACGATGCAACTGGCGATAAATCGCCTCATTCGCCAACATCACATCCCTCGACAGGGGTCCCAGCTCGCGATGCAAGATCGCATTACTCTCACCCATAGCCTGCAGATCCTGCATCAAGGCAAACGTATCCGGATACTCAACGACAATATCCTCCACATCGACCGTCAACATCTTGAACCCGGCCTTGTTCAGCAGACCTCCAACATCCCGCACATCCGCTAACGGGGAGACATGGGGACTGACGCCGCCGCGCCGCTCCATGTCCGCGAGCTGCAGCGACGTCCGCAGCTCGAACAGCGTGTCGCCGCCGAACATGGCCGCGATGAACGGGCAGTCCGGCTTCAGGATCGAATTCACCTGCGCCAACAGCGACGGGAGGTCGTTGACCCAGTGGATCGAGAGCGAGGAGAGCACGGCGTCGAAGCTGTTGGGTGCGTAGGGGAGGGTTTCGAGGTCGGGGATGACGTTGCGCGTGAGCGAGAGCTCCGAGTTGAAGGGTAGGTCGGCGTCTCGGTGCAGGAGCGCCTCTGAGGTGTCGACGCAGGTGAGCTCCGAGATCCGCGTTGAGAGAGGCGGTGCGCTCGGGTCGTCCGGGTCGGGGTTGGGTTCTGTGAGGGCGCGCGCGATGTTGCAGCTGTTGGCGCCGAGGTCGAGCACTCGTGGGAAGTGGCGCTTGATGTCCTGGAGGGGATTGTTCGTTAGGTGGGAGACCTTTTTATGTTTGAGAGGGAGATAGAAGGGGAGTGCATACTAGTAGGCGCTCACACAGTCGCAAGGCTACCTCGTCTTTGATGTAGTCTGTTTGTCGGCTTTGCTCGACATTGCGAGCGGCGCGGTCTTTCTGTAGATGCTTCGTTTGCCGATTGAATACTTCCCAGACGGGACTGCCGGGAGCTTGACTGGCGAATGATCTCCGGAGAGGAAGAGAAACGATCCGAGGTAAACGACGCATGGTGGAATGGGAGGTTGTGGGAGAGAGAGAGAGTTGTCAGGAGAAGTAGTAGAAGAGGAGTAGAAAGAGGAAGGGAAAAAAGTGCAAGTGACGAAAGACGGAAAAGGCGGCGGCGTGACGTCGGAGTTTGTCGCTTTTGTTTTGTCCCGCCGTTTTCTCTCCTCTTCTTCCTCTTCCTCGCGGTCGATCTTTCTTTTCTTCCCTCCCAACAATGGCGCGTCCCTTTCCCTACGCCTTCATTGCCTGTCCTTGCGCCGACTCGCCTATCCCCGACTCTCTCGACGACGAACAGACGCTGGACCCGCGATCGCCGCGCTCCAACTTCTCGCTGTATCCGCCCGAACAGCTGCTATACTGCGAGGACTGCCACCAGATCAAGTGTCCACGATGCATCACCGAGGAGATTGTGTGCTGGTATTGTCCCAGCTGTCTGTTCGAGACCCCCAGCAGCATGGTGCGCAGTGAAGGCAACCGGTACCGATTTGCTGTCCCCTCGAATGTCACCTCTCCGTACAGCTCGCTCATCCTCTTATCCCTCTAGATGCGCCCGTAATTGCTTCAATTGTCCCGTCTGCACCGCTCCCCTGGCCGTCACGACCCTAGAGAATGCCACCGGTAGCAGCCAACAAGGCCCCTGGGTGCTGGCTTGCTCGTACTGCATGTGGACCACGCTGGACGTGGGCCTGCAGTTCGACAAGCCCACCAACCTGCGCGCTCAGTTATCCAAGATGACCGATGCGTCGCGTGGTCGTCAACCGTCCAAGACCTTCAGCGATCTCAAATCCCCGCTGGCCACCTCCGCCTCTATCGATGACCAGTTCGACAACGTCTCCTCCTCTCCCAACCCGCCCTCCACACCGGCCCCCGAAGGCCCTTTGGCACCCGATGCCCGCTTCGCCGCCCTCAAGTCCTTCTACAAGAACCAATTGGCCGCCGTCTCCTCGTCCTCGTCCGACCCGGATCTCGGGTCTCCTGGTGCCTTGCACCGGATCATGTCGCTCTACGCCTCGTCCAGCCGTTTCAGTTTATACCCCGGCGCCGGCAAGAAGCCCAAATCTCGGCCGCCCGTCATGCGCGAGGCCATTTCCACCAGCGAGGGCCTGAAGATGCCCGCCCCGGACGCCGACGACGCCGCCATCCAGCGCTTGGTAGCGGAGGACGGAGGCTGGGACTCGGTGGCCTCGCTCGAGCAGCGGCGGTTCCAGTCGCCGGACGCCCGCTTCGTCGACGACCTCCTGCCGCTGCCGGTGCTCCTACGCACGAAACGATCCAAACGGTGCAAGTCGTGCAAACACATCCTGGTCAAACCTGAATTCAAGCCGTCGTCGACGCGCTTTCGTATCCGTCTCATCGCCCTCAGCTACATCCCCTTACCGACCCTTCGACCGTTAATACCGACTCCGGGTTTAATCCCTCCTTCTCTGCCGTCCCCCGCGACCTCCTCGGTAGCACCGAACCTCGACTCTCTCCCGCCGCTTAAACCCGTCCAACTGCTCCTCACGCTGAAAAACCACATGTTCGACCCCGTGCGGGTCACGCTGGCCACCCCCTCCGTGACCCCCGGCCGCGTCGCCTCCAAGGTCACCATCCTCTGTCCGCAATTCGACCTAGGCGCCAACAGCGACGTCTGGGACGAGGCCCTGCAAGGCGCCACCCCGGCCGGTGGCGGCGGTGGCAGTACATCTGCGACCAATGCCGCGAATGACCCGCGCTCCTCACGATCCGGTACCCTCGGCGCAGGCTCATCCGAGAAAGTCGCCGAGGCCGGCAAAGTGTGGGATAAAGGTCGTAACTGGACCACTGTGGTCCTCGAAGTCGTCCCTGGTCCGTTACCAGGCGGTGCTCAGAACTCATCCAAATCCACCCCCATGGGAACAGGCGACGAAGACACCTACGAGGAGAACAAGAACCGCGACAGCGACGATGACAACGAGGACTCCGACGACGACGATGACGACGACAGTCTACCCGACATGAAGAACCTCGACTGGAGCGGACAAAACACCGACCCGGGCCAGAAATTACAACCCGACGAAGACATCCTGGAGATCCCCGTATTCGTGCGCATGGAGTGGGACTCGGATAACCAGATCGACGAGCACGGTGGCGGCCATCAGAGCTCGGATACCGTGAAGAGGGAATTAGCGTATTGGATGGTGTTGGGGGCTGGGCGGATTTCAAAGGAATTGACAGCTTAGGATGATGGTACAAGGTAGCATTGTAGATATCAGCATTCGCATGGATTTGTATAGATTTCCACTAATTAGTTTAGATGCTTGGATGTTGTTGTTAGTTAATACCCATTTTTGTTGAACATCGAGGAGCTCTACTGGGGTTGTATGTTGTATACCATCTACTAATCCTTACCAAAGAGAACAAACCACAGAACGAAAAAAAAAAAAAGGAAAATGAAACCCCTAACCCAAAACAACACCTAAAACACAAGAAAAAGAGAGAGAAACGAATAAAAAACAAGAAAAGATCATGATTGTTTGTTTGATATTATCACATCTCATCAACATCAACATTTCCTTTTTCAATTCCAAGGGACAAGGGAACCCTCAAAACAGGACCAACCAGCACAGCCATAGCAGAAGACGAGAAAGATAAGATAAAAAAAAAAAGAAGAAACAAAACTTGTTCATGATTCCCTTCTTCCCTTGTTTGAAAGTTAAAAAAAAAATTAAGATTTCTTCTTTTTTTGGTTTCCTCTCTCTCTCTCTGTCTGTCTCCTACCTAAGTTAAACCCTCTTTTTTTTATTTAGAAAAACCGCCCTTTTTGTTGTTTTGCCATTTAGATCATTTCCGCAACCGTAGAATTTTGAAACTGAAGTAGATTTCCCTTTTCTCGTAACCCTTTCTTCTAATTTCCCTTTGGATTTCCCGCGTTGATTCCTAAATCATCGGCAGATGATGATGATTTCCATGGTCACATGAGATGATATGGGAAGGGAGAACACAAAGAGAATAGAAAAAGATGTTCAAAGGTCTCCATCAAAAAAGAGAAGAAAAATCAGGTTTCAATTGATCTAAAAGTCAGAGGGACCGCTCTGGGGGAACTCGAAGGTAACAGCACGGCCAGTTAGACGACGGTAGACCTCGCCGTAGGCGTCCAGGCGGTGGTCAACACCACCACGCTCCTTCTCGTCCAGGATGACCTTCAGGGTCTTGCTGCCATCCTCCTTGGTGCGGATGCGCTTGCCGACAATCTCGACGGGGTAGACCAGGTCGCCGAGGATGGAGTCGTGCACGGCAGTGAGAGTGCGGGAACGGGGACGCTTCTGCTTCTGGTTGGAGCGCGAGTTGGCGGAGCGCTTGGGGCGGGGCAAGATGCGGCGCTGAGCAACGAAGAGAACGTGGCGGTCGGAGAACTTCTTCTCGAGCTCACGGGTCAGGCTGGACGAGGGGTACACATGTCAGTCTTGTTTCGTCTAGCGTGCGAGCAATGACCATAGAGACTGGTTTTTGTCTTCTTTTTTTTCGTTGGTTGATCGATGGGAGAGAATTAGGGTATTCCATACCGCTGCTGGATCTTGTGGAAGCTCTGGAGGAGAGGGACGGGGACGAAGACGATGACAGCCTTCTTGCCGTGACCAACCTCGACCTAAAAGAAAAAAAACTGTTAATGACTGATCGTGGGGTCCTCGGACGCATGTCTCTCGATCCAGGCAGATGTATCAAGTCACGGATCCTCGGCGCGTGCAAAACAAAATTTGTGCGGAGCGGACTGAAATCCCCCTCTTGATACCATCCAGTCATACAGGGTTGCCAATTGATGCCATGTCCAATCTCCATATAGCGTTCTCCATGATATGGTTCCCCAGGATCCTTCCTCGAATATCAAAAGATATTTATTATCCTTTTCCACACCCCACAGTCCGCACCGCACACAAATTCTCATATTGCATCGCATCGATTCCGTTCCTTTTCCTCTTGCACACACGGAACGGAGAGAGAAAACAGGCTGTGTGAAAAATTCTTACCTCACGAGCAGAGACGAACTGCAGGGGCCTGAGGGTAGCCTTCAGGTCCTGTGTGTTGCTCTCCAAGTCGAAGAGAGCACCGGCGATCGCGGTCTCCAGCTCGGAGGGGTTCTGCCTCGACGGCGAGTTAGGGGCGATCTTGTTGATAGCAGCCATGATTGCAGACGAGCGACGGATAGCTGGCTGTGCTGCGGGTGCTGCCTTCCTTGTCGCGGGTTGGTGGTCGTGGGAAATAAATTCGAGGGATTGAAAGAGGTCCAGCTCACACTTCGCGCTCCGGCTGTGGGATCGGGATCTCGGCGCCTCGCTTAGCGGTCGCTTGGCCCGTTGCGGTCTAGCGCCATCCTGCCTGCTTAGGGGATCGCGTATCCCGTGACCGGCCTGCCCTTTGCGGCCTGTCAGATCAGGCATCAATATCTTTGCGCGTCTCTCCGCCTTTTGCCTCTCCTACACCGCGGTCTGTACCCCGTACTCCGTATACTCCCTAAATTGTACACAAATGCTATACTATACTTTCTCAAATGTCCATCCATCCCAACTGCCCCTTTATTCCTAAAGTACTATCGGGTCTTCGGCGAGATCCCATTACCGAACTAGATAATATGGCATAGAACAGAGAAAAAGAAAAAGGAAAGTAATAAACAAACAGACGCCGTGGATATGACAACTGCACACGCCTTTGCAGAAGAGTGAATACTGTAATTGAAAACGAAGGAAACGAAAGAAACGCAGACTTATTGTCCTAGGCTGTTACTGGACAATCTAGCCTGGGACAATGGCGAGAATCTTGAACTTGAACACACGCAACCCCGGAGAGGATAAACGGCTCAACAGGCGCACCCTTCTTTGGCAGTAGCAGAAGCCCGATCGCCTAGGTTCACTCTCGAGTCTTCGGCCGGTCGACCACCTCCCAACGTAGTCTGGCCGGTCCCCGCGCCGCCTCCTCGCCCGCTCTTCAAGCTGCTCTCGGGGATAGCATTGGCAATCGCCGTGAAGACGTCGACCACATTGACGCCCGTCTTCGCACTGGTTTCAAAGAACAATAGACTCTCCTCTTCGGCGTAAGCACTAGCCTCCCGTGTCGGTACTTTCCGCGCGTCCCCGGGAGTGGCATCGGCTTCCTCGGGGTTCTCGCCGGCCGCCTCCTCGTCCTGGTCAGCCGCGGGCGACTCGCGGTCAGCGTCAGCCTGAGACTCGCCAGCGGCCTCGTTTCCGTCATTTGTCAAGTCCAGCTTATTGCCAACGAGGGCGATGACGATACCGGGGCTGGCTTGCCGCTGAAGTTCAGCTACCCAGTGTTTCGCCTTGGTGAGCGACGAGGGTTTGGTGACATCGTAAACCACCAGCGCCGCCTGGGCGTTACGGTAGTACATGGGGGCAAGCGAGGCGAAACGCTCCTGACCGGCCGTATCCCAGATTTCGAACTTGATCGTGCGAGTAGGCAACGAGCATTTTTGGGTGAGGAAAGCGGCTGAACGGGAAGGTATGACATCAGCGTCGGCACAGCCATTGAAGGAGGGAGAGGCACGGGAGCAATGGAAGTCGGGAGTATGACAGCCAAAATAAAAACACCGCAAGGGTGCTTCCATCGTCATAGCCACCTAGGGAACGGTTCACATCTGGGAGTCATTCTTACCTCCAATGGTAGGTTCCTTGTTCTCCTGGAAGTCGTTGTTCACAAATCGCAAGACAAGCGAAGACTATTTTCCAAGTAACAATTCATTCAGGGTCAGTCTTCCAGGTTACTCGTGTACAACGGAGGGGCAGGTAAAAGGAAACAGCCCGGGCCGTACCTTTCCAACGGCCGCCTCTCCCAAAAGTACAAGCTTGACGCTACTACTCGGCTTCGGAGTATTTGTGCTGGTTGACTCAGACATGGCGATGGAAGCCCAACGAGGTGCCTATGGAGGTAAAGGATATGGGGTTGGCAGGCCGTGCCAGCAAGAGTGGTGATTATCAATCCGGAGAGGGGAAATTTCAGCTCGCAAAGGGCGGCTAAAAGTTGACCGCAACAGATAGGTCAATAAAAGAACTTTTTTTCGAATAAAACCAGACAAAGGCGGGAAATAAAAAAAAAAAAAAAGAAAAGCGAAAGACTCCAGGTAGCCTGGGAGCGAAACGTCAGCCGGAACACGAGTTGATCGATCGGGTCAGCTTGTCGAGCAGGGGTATATGGCTGCCTGTCACTGGAGCAATGAGGGTGAAGATGACGATGATGACGAAGGGAGGGAGCAAATGACAGAAAGGGCGAGAGTACAACGTACCAGTACCAAGAGGAAATGGCGGTGGACAGGTAAGGTACAAAGCGTCGCAACGTGCTTTAAGGATAGATACCCAGCGAGGCGGAGAAGAGACCAAGAGACTAAGAGACTAAGAGAGAGTCGACGGAGGGAACTGGGCGAGGCGCCTAATCCCGTTAGCGCCGCTCCCCGGGCAGTCACGGGACGGTTCCCGCTTCCGACTCCATCACCGCGTCAGGTATACTTACTCTTTCGCAACCGTCGATTTCATCTGCGTTTGAGACCCCATTCCCCCTGTCATGGAGATTCTGTGAAGAATGCGATAGATCAAGTCTTCCTGGTCTCCAACACGGCCGCCCAATTGGCGGGACGTCCATCGAACGGGCCGTCGACGGTCGAAAAGATGTATCTCGGCCCTGGGCCTCCTCCGGAATGACGGACGCCAACGAAGACAACAAATGCTATGACGTGCCAGTGGCCCCCTTACCCCCCCAAAGGACAACGGTTGGGAACCCTTCCCACTGGTACCCAGTCGTGTCATACTGGGCAACGTTGCACCGTATGATTTGTGTAGATCCCGTAGCTGCCCAAATAGAGAAGCACATGCAAGATGTCCGAACACCGTGATTGTCGACCGGGGTCCACCGAGATAATGCTTGCTCAAATTAAAGCCGGCAAATCACAGCCGAGACGCCCTGTGCCCTCCCGGAAACCTACCCCAGGGACAATCATTCAACGGCGGACGTTATGGCCTATGGATCCGGTTGAGAACCAGACCGATCCAAGGCTTGTGCGGACTAGCGACGAAGGTTACAGAGAAGGACAAAAGAAACGCAAAAGAAAAGACAAGGATCTACTGACGGAGGTTCCGCTAGATTTCCAATAATGCACACTTGCTTTCATTCTCAATGTGCTTTGGTAAGAACAGAAAAATAGTATACAGGCGCAAAAAGAAAAGTCCCACATGGCCAATCAACCCACAAAAAGAGTCAGATCCGAAGAGACAGCAGCAAAATAATCAAGAAATGTGTGACCGCGAGGTCGAAGGTTCTAGTGTTGGTATCTCAACCCATTTATCCCAAACGAAAAACGAAAAGAAAAGAAAAGAACCCCGTCCTGTCTATACCCAACGCCAAACAAAGTAGATCCCAAAGATAAATAGAAAGCTGAAAAGGAACAAAAAGAAATAACTTTTGATCAACAGGTTGGACACCTGTTCGCGGGCTCATGTCGGTAAGATTAAAAAGGCGTAAGGAAACAATTGGATAATCGATCGAATGAAAATAGACGGCGGAGTGCTCGAGCGTTGGTGATAATCGAGATAGCCGAAGACGTATTAAAAGTTATAGATCCGAAACCAGAGGCGGCCCAACGGTAAAACGTAGCAGGGAAAAGTAGTAGTGTTACAGAAGCTGTGAGTTTGAAGTTAGCAACGTGAGCCCAGAAGGGGGTGAAATCGCTCAAGGGCTGACGAACTTACAAGAAAGAAGCGCGATTTGATCTAATACGCGTGAACTCCAGAGGCCCCTGACTCCAGTCCAGGAAAACCACAAACAACGTTTCGCTCGAACGAACAGAAAAAGGACATCGTGTGGTTGGCGGATGCACCGAAGGATTTCACTTGGGCGGTGGTGGAGGAGCGCCAGGCTTCTTGACGCCCGTGGTATCGTAAGCACCTCGTCCCATGTTGAAGGCCGACAGATCCCGAAGTATCATATTAGATTCTGCAGAGACAGCCATTGGTTAGATGTCAAAGGTTTCTGGTTGGAAAGGAGAAAGCTAGGCAGTGGAAAGACAAGCTCGGAGATGGGTTTTTGAGGGGAGGGAAGAGGAACTCACAAGAGAATTAAATATACAAGGAGTCAAGCCCTTTATTAATCAAACAAAGGGACCGAAAAATCAACAACCGCGATTATTGTGCGGTCCGACAGAGCAAATGCAGCAGCTACTAGCGAGGTACCCAAGGTTCCAGACGAGGACAGGCGGTATTGATGCAGATGATGCAGCTGCAGTTGAGATCGGAAAGACGATCCTTATTAAGGGTGCTCACAGCACAGACGCTGGGTGAAAAGCAGGCAGGATTATGCAATGCCGGGGTCGACAACAATAGATCTGTAGGGCAGGAATGTGACGCTGAATAACCAAGAAGTTGGACCGTAAGAATGAGGCAGTGTGGATCTCAGGAAACAATTGATAGGTCGATTTGGGAGATGTTTGATCTTTTCTTTTTCGACGTTAGGCGCTTCGATGATCTTTGTTCTGAATTGTCCTGGCCTTTGCGTTCTTCCAAATCGTACAGGGGCGTGCAAAGATAGTGTTTGAATCGAGCGCGATCTGATCAGGATCCGGCGACCGAGACGCAGAGGCTAATGCAGTCGGCAAGGAGGTTTGAATCCTGGAAAGGGGAAGTGCCGCGGTACTCAATTCCGTTCAGTCCGGGCAAAGAAAAAGAAAACAAGCTCGGACGGAGGGCGCAAGGGAGAATAGTAGGACGATTTTGACAACGTCACCGCGGTACTGAAGAGCGGCAATGGAGGTTAGGTCAGAGGGAATGAGCTAAACAACGACACAAGGGAGGATGGCGAGAGAAGAAGAGAGAACGGGAGGGAGAAAAGGCGGAGGAAGGAGTAGAAGGAGGAAAGGGTGTAAGGTTAATTGGTTTAAGGAATGAAAGAAGTGATGAAGAATTTAGGCCAGATCTTGAAGGGGGTTCGTTGATATATGTACTCCGTAGTAACGTACCTACTATGCTGTAATTTTTTTTTGTTTGACTTTTGGGTGAGATCAGCAAATGATTTTTTTTATGGATATCGATATTTTTGGGGATTTTTATTTTTCAATTTTTTTTTTAATCGAAGAGATGAACTAAAAGAAGGACAGTGACTGACAAGCACAAGGTAAAAAAAAAAAAAGAGGAAAAGAGAGAGCGCTGACAGAACAAAAGAAAATGGGAGGAAAAAATATTAAACCCCCGAATGAAATAAAATAGAATAAAACATATTAAAACAGCCATAATATTTACCAGAATAATAATAAATCCAATTTTCAAACCAAAATGGAAAAGGAAAAAAAAAAAAAAAAAATCGCAATTGAGCTCTATTTAGCATAGCGGCTCGCCCGTCCCGGGGGGAAGGTACGCGAAAGCCTGTGTGGATGCGATCCATCCATCCATTTTCCATCCCCCTTTCTTTTTCTTTTCTAGGTCGATGGAGAAGTTCCAGTTCCAACGTTTGACGGCTGCCGTACCAATTTAGTATTTACTGTACCTCCCCTGGGCCAGCCAGCCAACTCCGTATTATTACCCAGGGCGTATGGGCTAGGGAAAGTACCTACCGTACTTACGGAGTAGGTATGGAACAGGTAACATTCGGCCTGTCGCCATCATTCCTCCTTTTGGCCCCCCTGTTCTCATTTCACCTCAGCTGATACTCTATCACAAATCGATTTCTGCCTCCCTTAGCCCGGAAATTAGCATCTTAACGTCCGGCCCGATTCTAGAGTACTGGTCGCAAGTTGACGGGACGCCGGGGCATCTGTGTTGTAGGTAGGTCAGCAAGACAGACAGCATCACGCAGAATTTCCCGTCAATCGGTGGCGTCAGAAATCTGGTCACGACCACTCAGAAATGGGAAAACAGGATGAGCTCTCTCCACAAGAGTTAGAAGCTACTAAAGAACCGACTTCTCGAACCACGGCGACTGGCTTGTTGCAGGGTGTGGGTGGGGAATTAGCAGCCGCTCCAGGAACCGCGGATGGATCCGAACCAACACCGCTGGGGGGCTTGTTTCGATTGCTCTCGCGTGGTGTATTATTTACTAGTCCTTAGTAGGGGACCTGGATGGAAAAGACGGAGAGTCAGGGGGCCTGGATGGGTAGCGAACCCCAGAGGGCTCAGAAGCCCTATGGCGTATCTCCTACGCAGTAAACCCTGGTCTTTCTTTGTTCTACACAGTCCTAACCTGATGCAGCATGATCTCATCGAAATGGAAGACCCAGTCTGTTCTGGATGTTTTCTTTCTTTTCTTTTCCTTGTCCAAGACCATAAGTACATACGTTCGTGCGTACGGTGTCTGTTCAAATCTAGAAGTACCAAAAGTACCACTCCGTTGATGAACCGTCGATATTGCGGCAGTTTTGCCACAGTTTCCGTTTACCATTGATTGATTGACTGCAGATGAAGAGGAGATTTGATTCTGTTGTATCACTGGGGAAATCGATAGTCCCCCAAAGACATAGAGAAGAAGAGGGAAACAGCAGCAGGAGCGAGAAAATGTGGTGGCGCGATGTTTGATATGTCAGGTCCCATAACAACTTTGTAAGATTACAGAGTGCGTACTAGCGTTGAGCTGGAAGCG